TAAAAATTCTCATGCCCTATTGAATGTAATAAAGAAATTCCCTTGAGGAAGAATTTAGAAGGAGCAAAAGGCAAAGAAAAATCTTTTCTTTTGGAAACGATTTTCAAACTTTTCTAGTTGATAATGAACCTTCAAATTATATTGAAGCAATTAACTCTTCTGATGCAAATTTATGGAAAGAAGCTATTCAAAGTGAAATTAATTCCATTGTGAAAAATAAAACTTGGATTTTGGTAGATTTACCACCCAGTGCAAAACCAATTGGTTGCAAATGGATTTTTAAAATAAAATTTAATCCTGATGGATCTATTGATAAATATAAAGCTCATCTAGTTGCAAAAGGTTTTTCACAAAAACAAAATATTGATTATTTTGATACATTTGCGCCTGTGACTAGAATTTCTTCTATTCGAGTACTATTTGCTTTAGCTTCTATTCATAAACTTTTTATACATCAAATGGATGTAAAAGCAGCATTTTTAAATGGTGACTTAGAAGAAGAAATTTATATGGTTCAACCTGAAGGATGTGTTGTTTTTGGAAAAGAAAATAAAGTTTGTAAATTAGTTAAATCTCTTTATGGCCTTAAACAAGCTCCAAAACAATGGTATGAGAAATTTGATCAAGTCTTGAGAGGAGATGGGTTCTCTTCTGTTGAAATGGACAAATGTGTCTATACTAAAAGCATCAATTGTGAATATGTGATTCTATGCTTATATGTTGATAATATGCTTATATTTGGTACTAGTTTACATGTTATAGATAGCACTAAACATTTTCTATCATCTAATTTGATATGAAAGATCTGGGTGAAGCAAAAATGATATTGGTTGTTAAAGTTATAAGGAGAAGCAATGATATAATATTGTCACAAGAACATTATGTTGAGAGACTTCTTAAGAAGTTTGAAAACTTTGATGTGACACCGGTGAGCACTCCCTATGACGTTAACACTCAATTGAAAAAACATCAAGGTAACCCAGTTGCTCAGATTATTGGGAGTCTGATGCATTTGATGAATTTTACACGGCCTGATATAGCATATGTTGTGTGTAGACTGAGTAGATATACTCATAAACCCAATCGTGAGCATTGGTTTACAATTGTTAGACTAATGAAATACCTGAGAGGAACCATGAACTATGGTATCCTATATAGTGGATTTCCCACTTCATTAGAAGGGTATAGTGATGCTAACTGGATCTCTAATTCAGATGAGACAAAATCTACTAGTGGTTTTGTGTTCACCCTTGGTAGTGGTGATATAGCATGGAAATCATCGAAACAGATGATTTATGCTAAATCAACTATGGAATCAGAGTTTGTAGCTCTTGAGCTAGCTGGTTCTGAGGTTGATGGGCTGAGAAATCTCCTAGCGAGTATTCCTTTATGTAAGGATGCCAAGTCTCCTGTCTCTATGCATTGTGATTGTGAAGCGGCAATTAATACTGCTAAAAAAAAAATTTATAATAGTAGAAATCGATACATGAAATTGAGACATGATGTCGTAAAACAGCTGTTGAAGGATGGAATTATTTCCATTGATTATATGAAGTCAGAAATGAATTTGGTCGCTCCTCTGACTAAACCTTTGGGAAGAAAATTAATTCTTCAAACCTCAAAGGAAATGGGACTTAGACCAACTAACTGTCAATAAAGATGGTAACCCAACCTATGTGATTGGAGATCCCATAAAGTAGGTTCATATGGGTAATAGCAAGTCAATATTGACACTAAAGCACTTTTAGTTAAAACTCTATTGTGATGGGTGCTTAAATTGTTATCTATTGTGAGGTTGAGTTAAACTCTTAATGGATTCATATCTCTAACGAGTAGTGTACCTAAAGCAGTGTACACTTGATGAATTCACTTATATGAGAGTGGAGTGGGGCCGCTCCTATAAGATCTTATGGTCGGATCTTTAGAGCACTCGTGAATAACCAGGCGCGTGCATGGCCTATTGGCGCAAAATCGCGTGAACAGCAAAATATGGTTCGCATTGTGGTTAATAAAACCTCTGTCCTACAAATGGAATTCTTGGTTCATAGAAATTTTTATTTCACCAATTATTCTGTAAGTCATGTTTTATTAATCTAAGTTTGGTTCATAGTCCAAAAGACACCAGACTGATTGCACTGCACCCAAACATATCCAGCAAATTTTTGTATGTTTTATTCTTATAGTTTTAAAATCTTTTGAAATATGTGGGGGATTGTTGAATATTTCAAAAATATTTTTATTGTTACTAAGTTAATTAGTAAAAATGTATTGTAGAATTGACTTGGTTCATCTCACTTTTTTTGGGATAAAACCCAAAATGCCAAGTCAAAGTGGAAGAATGAGTCTTGGTAGTCTGTTCCTAAAATCTGTCCACTAAAAGTCTTAATCTTATCAAATGGAGAATCTTATTTCTGATATTTTGGGGGCAGCAACGGGATATTTTGGCACTATAAATAGATGCCAAATTTGAGTGAGAAAAAAATGCACCAAACATTTTCTCTTTTTTCTGATCTTTCTTTCCCTCATTTTCTTTTTCCTTTCGGTCATTCAAGGCTTAAAGCCCATTTTCTTCATTCAACACTAAAAAGCTTTGGCTTTCTTTGTTTACTGATTTCGGCACATTAAATACAAAAGCCTTGAGTTGTTTTAGCATAATTTTCTTTGGTCTTTAAAATAAAAAGTTTTATTTCTATTATTCTTTATTTCTGGATTAATATTTTTTAGTTGTTCTTATTCCCTCTATCATTAGAGGAAGGCTTGTTTAATCTTGAGGAGACATTTCAATACCATTGGAATAATTTCTTGAGCACAGTGTTTTTTAGCGCGACTCAAGTATTATTTTATTTAATACTTTATTAGCATTTGGCCTACATTTTTCCAACAAATAATCTATGTGAGAATTAAATTTATAACATTAAACAACTTGATGTAACGTGTCATCATTATTGAAAATGTATAAGAAGAAACTACTATTATAATCATTTAGTTCTGACCTCAATTTTAGTGTAAACCTGAGTTGCCATCAAATACTTAAAGAGATTACTAACCTTATATGAAATCGAGGAATGTATTCACTTGAAAATTATTTCTAAAAAGAATACATCAAAGCATGCTTTTATAGCACGGTTGGTGCTTAAGAGGAGAGTTCTAACCAAGGACAGATTATTGAAAATGAATGTGAATGTGCTGGATGATAGATGTTGGTTACATAAAATGGAACTTGAGACTAATGATCATTTATTTTTACCAGTGTGAGTATTCCTAAAAGATATTGGAACTGCTGCATGCAGAAGTAGAGTTAAAATGCAGGAAGATTTGCTTAATGGGACAGAGATGGAAACTTCAACTACTATGTATGTGGAAAGGACAAAAACTAAGGCAAGTATTTTCTTTGCTGCTTTAAGAGTTGTATTTACCACTTATGGCAGGAAAGGAACAAAACGCAATTTGACAGCTTAGAAAGAGCTCTTGAGGCAGTATTTAGTTTGTATTTCAATTGGAACTGAAATACAGAATTGGACACGGGACGGAGCAGAGATGTAATATTGCTGAAGGAAGAATTTTACAGCAGGTTTTTTTTTATCCTATTTAGTATATAAATAGGGGATGTTGAATGATGCTATGTAGAATGTCTGTTGAGAGGTGCGTAATAACCTCATCAATTTTGTAATAGACAGTAGAACTGAACCGGATTGTAAAGAGGTTTTTACTGTTTTGGTGATTTGTATAAAATGTTTACTTTTTTACCAAAAAAAAATATTGAGAAAAATAGTTGTAAATTTTTGAAGGAATAAAACCTATTTATAGTGGAAAGGGATAAATAGTAAAATTTTTCAAACATGATTAAATGTTTCTTGGAATTAGAAAACATAACATAAAGAATGCCATAATTGTATTCATGCATTTTTTTAAAAAAAATTTGGAAGAATATTCATGCATTATAGTGTACTGTATCTCACTTTTAAAATGTGCTAATAACAAGACAAGAATTCCCAAGCAAGAGAGATATTGTGATGGACTTGTGTTTTCGGGCTTATATAACTTTTCTCCGTTTGGGCCATACAGATAAATTAAAATATGATGGCCTTTATAGTTTAACTTTAACCTGGCTGCCTTTTCTCTCCTATTTAAAAGCAAATGGATCTTCATTACCGCCATACCTTTTAAAACTTAAATCCCCTAATTATAAATTATTATTGTTGATAAATTAATAGCTGGTTTGTTTTGAAATATCTCAGTCAATTCAACCAATCCATATGTTGCTTTGGCCATCAACTTGATATACGTATATGAATCTTACGATCTTTTTAAGGAATTTGTATATTAAAACATAAAAATAATCATTTTATTTTAGAGGACTGAGTGGAATAGTAAGGATAAATTATTTTCTCGTGGTGTTTTTTAACATCTCATTCGAGCAATCTATGTTATACTATTTCTTAAACATAGAACCAGGCCAAACAAATGATAATCATATAAATAAGTCAAAGCTCAAAACTTCTCCTATTTAAATTAGGAGTTTTTTTTGCTTAAACGTTTGTTCATAATTCTAACCAAACCTCACATAAACATAATAAAATTTAGCCATAAATTGGTTTACTCGTGTGGAACTCGAATATAATAGTACTTTTATTTTTTTTTTATATCTTAAATATATTGATTGGACTGAACAGACATACCGAAATTCAGTAGACAAACGACCGACCTCCTTTTTTAAAAAAAAAGAAAAAAAAATTTGTTTTGGTGAATTCAACACCTACTTGCAAATGCATTGGGGGAGACAAATTCAAACGGATTGATTTGCTCCATTCCACCGAAAGCGAGGAGCCCTCTCAGAAATAGCGTTTTCAATTTTATTTTATATTTAAAAGGAAAATCCGAATTAAATACTTACAAAAGTTGACAGAATCACCGCATGTGGATCGCCTTTGGTCTCATTTTGCTTCTTTCTCTATTATCAATTTACTACTATATTAAATTAAAGTTGATAAAAAAAAAATGCATGAACGAACCAACATTTGGTACAGGAACCTCAGGTTCCTTGAAGCTAACATTACATTACAAAAATGGGATTACAATATTTAATTCATAGTAATTCACACCATCCCACTCGTTATTATTACATCAACACAACAATAATAAGAATACTCAGTCTACGCGTTTTGTTACTCCATCCAAAGCCATTTTATATTTTTAGTACTATATAGTAAGCGCATTCAACCCTTTGTGACCAAATTCTCTCCCAGTTAATTTTCCACCTGCGATCTTCAAATCAAATCATGGTACATTATCGAATCATCACTTCCTTAGCTGTTGTGCTAGTTCTTCAGCTTCTTCTTCTGCTGCCTGTATTCGAAAGCCGGCCTTTGCCCGGGACTAATTCAGCCGGAGATGTTACAGGGTTGTCAAGAGGGTATATGAAATCGCCGGTTTATGGCAACGGAAATCAATGTGAAGCATTGGATAAGTCACTTGGATTTTGTGATCCTTCAGCTATTCATGTGGCAATGACGCTTGATTCAGTTTACTTTAGAGGTACAGTGGCGGCTGTTCACTCCATTCTCCGGCATACTTCTTGCCCGGAAAACATTCACTTCCATTTTGTTGCAGCTGACTCTGGTTGTGCTTCTTCTAGCTTACCTATGCCGGAGGAGTATGATGTAATCTTAAGATCCATTTTTCCGTCTCTGAGTTTCAAGGTATACTCTTTCAGTACACAGCGTGTTAGGAGTTTGATAACTTCTTCAATTCGTCGAGCTCTGGACAACCCTTTAAATTATGCAAGAACCTACTTGGCTGATATCATTGAGCCTTGTGTGAAAAGGGTTATTTATCTGGATTCTGATGTGATCCTCGCCGACGACATCCAGAAGTTATGGTCAGTGAGAGTGACTGGAGACAGAGTAATTGGTGCTCCTACTTACTGTCACGCCAACTTCACCAATTACTTCACCGACAATTTCTGGTCAGACCCGCAGCTTTCAAAGACATTTGAAGGCAAGAAACCGTGTTATTTCAATACAGGTGTAATGATAATGGAGTTGGAGAGATGGAGAAAGGGAAGCTACACAGAGAACATTGAGAACTGGATGGAAATACAGAGGGAAAGAAAGATTTACAGCTTAGGTTCTCTACCACCATTTTTGCTGGTTTTCGGTGGAGATGTCGAAGCCATTAGTCATAGATGGAATCAACACGGACTTGGAGGCGACAATGTTCTGAACAGTTGCAGATCATTGCATTCAGGTCCAGTTAGTTTGCTGCATTGGAGCGGCAAGGGAAAACCATGGGTGAGGCTTGACAATGGAGTGCCTTGTCCTGTGGATTATCTCTGGGCACCTCACGATTTGTGCAGACTGTAGTGACTAGTAACACAAGCATTCTTCATTTCCACCATTCTTTTGTACAGACGAGAATTTTTTGCTCGAGAATCTTTGTTTTTCCTGTCTGAAATGAGTTCCACCATGTGACAAAATACAGAAAGTGGAAATAGAAAACCATAGTTTAATGTATACTTTTGTTCATTCCTATGAAGCAGATATGCTTTTATTCATCTTTTGCAGTGGTCGGCTGCGATTCAGAACATGCAATTCAAAATATCGAGGTGGCACTAGCCACAAAAAAAAAAAAAATAAAGGAAATGTACGTCACTATTTTACACATGGCTTAACAAATGATAACAATTTCTCCATCTTGTTTCTTCTTTCTTTTCAGGATACATGATACACATCTCAAACAACTGTTCTACAAGACAAAAATTTGAAGCAGAATAAGAGCGAAAATGAAGAATATACACATTCCATCCTGCTTCCTCTACTTACAACAAACCAACAGCACAACTTAGATGCAATCTATTTTCCAGGCCTCTTAAATGATGTCCCATTAACATGCACCTGCCATTATCAGAAAGAGAGCTATCATCATTTGGTCCCATGAATTTAAACTACTTTTAAGGTTAAGGGCAATCTCTTCATTTAAGATGTTAATGTCAATAGTAAAACGCGAGCTTGTAATGTAATTGCATATCAATGAAAAAAAACTAACCAGAAAAGAAGCTTTGCTAAGTAGTCCCGGGATGTGTTAATAGTATCATGACATTCGGCAGCATCATCATAGTTCCCCATCCGACCAATACCCGGGTCTTTCGTGTAATAGGAGACAGGGTCTTCTTTGAAAAATCCTTGTAATACATTTTGAGCAAGCTGATGAATGAAATCATCCACCTCTGAGGATGAAGGTCTTGATAATTCGGTAACCTGTGCAGCCAGAATATGCATGCTAAGCACAACAGAGATCACAAAAATGCAACCACAAGTCACTTATAACAGAAAGCAGATGAGGTGACTCACCATATTAGATTCTAAAGATCTCAAGTACTCTAAGAGATCATTGTTGCTCTTCTTCACATACACCATTTGCATATTTTCCTGTTTACAGGTATGCAGTTCCTGAGAAAGAAGAGATACTACAGTCAGACATACATAGGTAGCACAAGTGTAATGTGGGATAAATTTGAATTCATCCAATGAACAAAACAACATTCTGTGAGGCTCATGGCAATGACAGGTGTAAAATCACACTGTCATCACCTTAAATTATTGACATTTGGCAAGTGGACACAGACCGGAGACGTATCAAATGCTGCCATGTTCAAAAAGAAGGAAGCCAAAGTATAAAAATTATCATTCAACTCTAAACAAGATTTGATCTTCCATCTCCATTCTAGCTAATATCTCCAATAGGACAACTGGAATCAAAATGTAATTTCCGAAGGGGTTACTGTTTGTGCTAAAACTTTCAAGGTTGAATTAGGATGGACTCTCACTCAGCTGACATCAACAAATGATCTAATGGTGGATCACACTTAACAGATGTCAAAACATTTTAGACCATGAAACAAGCTCAAAAGGGTATCCACCAAATAGAAAGCAACATATACACAAATTACAAGCCTATTTCACACACTAACCCCAAAATCTAACTTTATACAAACAACTTCAAATACGGCCTGGGGAAGGAAAAACGATTGCCTCAGAACTGAAACGGTCAGATATCAAAAAGAAAAGAGAGAACTTGGGCATGGAAGCTACTACCACTGTCAACCGTGAACATTTCAGTATGAGCTAAACTGAGTGACACTCTCCAGTCTCCTAGACACCATTTCATTGTAACCTCTAATTTTGATTCTGAATGATACAAACCAGTAGAAAACCAACCGAGTAGTTTACTCACCTGTTTCACACTAGACAGCTCTGATTCCAAATGCTGAATGTAGCTCAAAACTTCCGGAGATAAATTCCCCAGACTCTCCATATTCAGACCTTCCAAATCCTCCGAACTTCTGTCAGGTCTAATTTCACTTCCCCTGTTTTCACTGTCTTCTAAGCTCAGCTGCGAACCCCCATTTTCCTCCAAAAGTTCAGGCCTTTCCACATTATCCAAAGATATGTCGAAGTTCCTCATCAACGAAATTCGATACTCCGCATTCCACAAAGTATATCTAAAACCGAGTCAAAGAACAATAATAAACTTTTGTAAGAATCACTACAAAGCAAAACGAGCTATCAAATGAAGAGTAAAATTAAGCTAATAGCGGAGATGGGATGAATGAAGTAATTACCCAGTGATAATGGAAGACACGATGAGGCGATCAAGAGGGCGTCTGGAAACCTTAACAGTAACGGAGAATTGATCGGAAGGGAGCAACCCAAGCATAGTGGAAATGGTCTGCTTCATGGAATCCTTCGCGGCGTCAGACACGCCTTGGGAAATAACGGAGACGTCAAGAGGCTCAATCCGCTTGAGCATATTCGCAATGACGGAGAATTCACGGCTGAACCCAGACTTCCTCGTCGACACGAAGTCGTCGGATACTCCACCCCCGTCCACACCGGAAATCAAACAGCTCACCACCGTAGATGAGGCGGCTCTACGCTTGATGGCCGGAAGCAAAGGCCGGACGAGGAGATTGTGCGAGAACGGCGGAGGTGGTGGTGGTGGTTGTTGATGGAGGTGCCGGAGATAAGACCGGAGCTGAGACGGGTTGGTGACAGGTGAGGTTAACAAACCCCTAACTGTAGATGATGCCATCAAAATGGAAGGGAAACAAAAAAAAAAAAAAAACCCAAATCGAGAATAATTGAATAAAAGCCTCTGGTAATTATCTGGAAATCTGGTTGAACAGTATTTGTGGCGAGGGATGGGTACGGCGGAGCAATCACTGGGGGGGCGGTGGCGGGGCACAACGGCTGTGTCTGTTTGGAAACAGATTCTGTCTTACCCCCTTCTCGGATTTCTCTCAGCCTACCAATTTTTCATCATAATTATGTTTTTTTCTCTATTCTTTGGTGATGATGACTGTGTCAAATGAGTGCCACTGGTTTTCGCGTTATTTTACAGATTCACCACTGGGAGAGAATTGACAAGCGTATCTTTTGTGAATCTTGGGCTTTCTTGTTATAAAGTGGCCCAGCCGCCCTAATAGAGAGAAATGGATCGTACACCATTTTTTTTCCAATTTGCAAAAAAGTGCCCGAGTGCCTCGCGGGAATCACAGCGCTTGCTGACTTTTCTTTTTTCTTTTTTAATTTTTAGATTAGAATTAATTATTTTTAATTTGTACTGTGCTTGTTGCAACTAGTAGGTGAATTATACCACTACTATTATTTTACCACCTACTTGATGATGATTAGAAGGAAGAATGACAAATTTGATGGGTTGATCCTCTTTAATCTTTGTCTGCAAGGTCTAGGTTGTTCAGTTTTAGACCTTGTTCGAAACATGTCTATTGTGTTCAAATAAATTCATATTTTGTAACGTGTAAAGGAATGTCATACTTCTTAGATGATTAAGTGAATAGAAGAAATATTCACAGGTCATAAAATAAATAAATATAATCATTTTAACTTTTATTATGTGTAGAGTGTAGAGCTTTGAAATCCACAAAGGTTAACAAATTGTGTAATGTTTGAGGAATGCCAATAGCTCTGTTCTGACTTCTAAAGGTCACGGTACAAACTTATATATGGTGGACCATATATCATTTGTATTTGAACGAAAAAAAAAAACAGAAGAAGGCAAATAACATAACCAAGTCATTTCCCCTGTCCTTAATATTATACCTTTAAAATATAAATAAAACAATTACTCCCTCCAGTCCTTAATATAAGGCATTTTAATTTATCATAGGTTTAACCGAATACATATTTTTAATTAATGAAAAAACCTTAAAAATATTTCATAACGATCAAGAGAATATGACGAATGTGAAAATATATCTTAAGGCTTTTTCGTCAAGTAAATATGTGTACTAGGGAAACTAATGACAAATTTAAAATGTCTTATATTAAAGACCGGAGGAAGTATTATTCTGGACCCTTTGGAGTACAATTATATTATTTTGACTTTGTTATAACTAATAAAAGCAATGTTGAAGAAATCTTAACGCCATCAAGGAAGAGAACAAAAAATTGAATGCGAAAAACTTGAAAAAACTTAAGTAACCATGGATTTAAAGGTATTATTAAAGTAGTGATTAAAGTATTGTTGGAATTATTATTGATTCCCAATGTTGTTAGGTTGAACAAAAACAACATCAACTGAAATCATATTCATTACAGAATTTGAACCAAACATCAACAATCTATTCATAATAATTGATTATTAAAATATGTTCTGTAGTACGAGTAGCTTTTTCTTTTCTTTGTTTTTTTTTTTTTTTTTGTGTAGGTACGCAACCTTAATTTTAAATAAATCTCATGTTGGGTCCGAGTTGGAAAAGAAAATCAATGAATTTGGGTGGATAGATTTGTCACAGCAATTATAGCTGATAATTTTGCGCGTTTATTTATTACTTTCCAACATTAATTTAGTGACGATGAGGAAAAAGATACTAGTTTTATTTCTTCTGTCCACAACTTGGAAAAAGTTGTTTTTTTTTTATTTGACTTTTTTATTTTCCAAGTAAAATAAAAATCAGCAAGTAGGGCGGAAAAAGTCAAAAAGGATTTCAACGCCGTATTCCAATCGAAGTCTGCCAACCTAAATAATAATAAACACAACAATCGCTACATTTTCGAAGTCGCAACCTTAATTTGACGTCTCTTGGTTTTCTGCCTCCTCCACCGAGAAAAAACACTTGTCAAACAGATTTCCGGCGTAATATCTCCGTTTCGTGCAACTAACTCCGTCGGTCCGATGTCGGCTGCTCCTAAAGTCAATCGATGGATCAGGCCTGAGGTCCCGAATCATACTTTTTTTTTTAACGATTTAAGTGGTTTTTGTATTTGGATCTGCAAGATTATAATGATATGGTGTGTGACTGTGTGTAGGTATTTCCTCTGTTTGCTGCAGTTGGGGTTGCCGTCGGTATTTGCGGCATGCAATTGGTCCGCAACATCTGCACCAATCCCGAAGTCCGGTATGTTTTTCCAATCTTTGTCTCCCCTCCCTCAAATCTAGCTTTTCAATTTTTATTTTTTATTTTTCTTTATTAAAATTATGATGAAACAAATGTGAGGAGATTAGGAATAAACATGTTTGCAAACGTTGGACTCCCTAGAATGGTAGTAAGATCTCATTTTGAATTTCAGGCTTCGAGATCTAAGTCTAAACCAATAATTATTAACACACTACTATTATTTAGAGTTTTAGAGATGTGTACGTAATACTGTGATTTAGGGTTTTGTTACTTTTGACGGATGATATCGTCCTTTGATTACTGGTTTCAAAATGATTGTCAAATCTGTTCTATTATAATGTGACAAGATTGGGTATTAAAACCAGAGAAGTCTATCGAGTTATCAACTAGATGGAAACATATAATTATATTAAGAATGTAATAGTTAGTTGCTAATTGCTTAGAGCTTTGATATGTGTCCACAACCACAATCCACATTTTTGTTTGGCATTCAAAATGTTATCTTCTTTCTTTGTAAGAAAAGATTAACTTATAGCCAACTAGCCATTAGTTACGAGTACCATGTATACGTTCACTCTTGATTAATACTTTTTGTATCAAAACATGTCACAAATTAGATAAGAATCTGAATTAAACGCAAAACAAACGGGTGTTTAAGTATTTTCTTTTCTCTTTCTCTCTTTGGCATTCTTTGATTTAGTGATGAGGAACATGGGCTCAATTGAAATTAGACAGAATAGGCAAACCCTAGCTCTATGGATTTCAGAAAGAGAAGAGTCTTTTGGAAGCTTTAAAAGCTTGGTTTTAAGTATAAAATATCAAAGTAATGTGAATAACAAAGCTGCAGAAGGTCTCTATTTATAGAGAGATTCTGTTTATTCTTAATCCAACTAGACTTAGTAATTTCCTAAAACTTAGGACTTAAATTGACGTTCAAATAAAATACTTAATAGAAAAAGAAACTACTTTTACTAATTTAATAATAAAACTATTTCCCTAAATCTTCCTGCATCAGTTAGTATGTTCTTGGCTCATTGCGTAGCTGAATATATATCTGAAGATTATTTACTAGTATTATTACAATGAATTAATATGTGAATATGATTTTGTGTTTTGGGAAAATGAAGGGTAACCAAGGAGAACCGAAGTGCTGGAATCCTTGACAACTTTAAGGAAGGAGAGAAATACTCCCAACATGCTGTCAGAAAGTACGTTCGTCACAAGTCTCCTCAGATCATGCCGGCAATTAACCGCTGGTTCTCCGACCCCCAACTCTGATGGGATTCTCTTCTATCATACGATTTATTTACCCCCTCACTTCTACATCAACCCCAATGGGGGGTGAACATAATTCAGTGATTTAGGTCGCAATGATTTGATTCCAATAAGTGCTGTAATACATTTTTCTTTGGAATTGTCTCTATAGCATATAGATATGTCATATTTGACATTTGGTTTACCTTTCAAATGATGGGCGATGGCCGCTGAATTATTTACATGGTGTTTTTCATGATTCACTTTTGCAATACATTTATATACATGGGGTGCCTTACAAAGAGATTAAAGGAAAGAAGAGTATTATACATTCTTTTGAGTTTTGAGTATTTTTCGGCATTCTTTCAATTTTTTGCTTCTAAAAAGAATACAGTAACGTGAGTACCAGCATTAAGAGAATCGCACAGCAATACAGTTTCTAAAATCCAAGTGTTTCAATTTCCAAAACTTCACAAGCACTAATCACATCACCATTACCAACCAAATAAGAACGTAAATCAAACTAAAGCAACAAAACCACCCCAAAAAAAAAAAAAAAAAAAAACTAAAATGTACCCATGATGAAAAATTTCACATTCTATTAATCAACTGTGGTCACCTCTTGCCATTCTCCATCAACTGCTTCTTTCCACAAGGTGACATTGTTCTCTCCCACTGCGACGGCCAGCAAGTTTCCGGTCAGGGACCATGAAACCCTCCAGACTGGACACCTAAAATCCTTCAAAACCTTGCCTTCCCATTGATCACCGTCTTTTGCATTTGTCCATATAACAACTTTACCATCTTGAGAAGCACTGGCAATGGTGGACTTTGGCAGCCCCAAATTAGGAGCCCAGGCAACATCCCTAACCCAATCACTGTGCCCCTGAAGAGCAGGGAAGCAATCCATCTTCCAAATGCCACCATTGAGCTTCCACACCTTGACGGTATTATCACAACCACCAGATGCTAGCTTCAGAACCGGTTCCACAAGATTTGTTCCAACTAAAGCGCCAGGAGCAGTTGAAGGAGCCCATGAAACTGAGGTTACACCAACTGGATGAGCTTGATCTATTCTAGCGGTGTCCCAGCCACCACTATTTGTCGCTGTGTAGACATATATATTTCCGTCAGAGGATCCGCAAGCCAAGCAAAGCTTATTTATGTCATGAGGAGCCCAGGCAATAGAATTCACCGATGATGTATGGTCACTGAAAACATGGGCTTGTGACCACTCATTATGCGTGCCCTCTCTCCAGATGATAACTTTACCATCATAAGAACAAGAAGCGAGAAACGAGCCAAACTTAGGATGTGCCCAAGCTACCTGCCAAACAGGACCCTGATGTCCACTCAAAGTGGCAAGATGCTGAGAAGTATTGTTCTTATTCACACCTATAATCTTTATGGTTGAGTCCGATGAAGCGGTGGCTAGACGTTTTCCATAGTAGTCCATGCAGACATCATGAACAATATCTTGATGACCGGTTTCAATCTTCTGAGGCGGCATCTTTGTAATGTTTGTTAACGATATAACTACTTAGGATAACAAACTTCTTACGCAACTGCTGCAATGAGAAATATCCATGTGACGTAAGTAATATAATCAAGTTGAAAAGTGCATCTAACGCCAATGGTTACTGAACAAACAGATTTTCCAAAAGGTATACACTTGTAACTTGTAAGAGACATTATTAACCAACCACTAAAGCCACTTTCATACAAAGGTCTCCAAATACTTTGCAGTAAAAGATTAATGTCTTGATGGGAACTGAATGGGCTCAAATACCAACTCAGCAAATTTATGAGCAATTCTACTCTCACATATATATAGCAGAGAAGAACTATCACAGCCTTAGACAAAGGTTGCTCGTCTAACATACAAAAAAGGTCGGCCCCTCAACCAATAAAAAAGCATTCAGATGAGAATAAATTATAGAAGTTTTAGTAGATGTACAACAAAGGGTTTCCACAGAAACTACTGGCTGGTATACTGAGTGCAATACTGCATAACATAATCTCCAGGAATCCAATGACAGTTGCTCCGGAAAAAATGGTTACCTAAATCTAAACAAGTGAAAAAAGCAACAAAATCAAAAGTTGAAACTAAAGCAAAGTTAAATAGATTGTTCTTGAAGTTAAACTAAGAAACAAAGCCAGAGGACCATACAATTTGACAAAACAAAATCAAAGCACGGCTTCTGAGATAAAATAGATAAATAAACAGAGCAAGTAACAGAGAATTATAGCCACAACCAAGTCCACTGAACTGTTGTTGCAACACCACAAAGCACACAAACACAATCAAATCAAATTTGCCATAGCTTTTCCTTTCCAACAAGAAAACATAAACTTAAAAACAACTTCCACACCTCGAATTTCAGTTCAACCACTGAATCACAAAGATCTGCTTTCCACACAGGATGTTGAAGTGGAAAACAAAAAATCTAAAAGCTTGTATTAGTTTAGTTCCAGAAAAACACACAGTTGCAGAAGGCTCAATTGTATGAACAGAGCGAACGAAGGTCGGCTAACCGGAGATCTGCAAATTCACCCCCGTAGATCTTACGCAAAGAAAATTAACGTATTATTCTGAAAAGGGAAGCCGTCTTACCTTTGACTTGGGAGACCAGTTCGTCGGGATTTTCGTCGGACCAATCGAAGGGAATCGGAGCTCTGAGAAAGAAGACGGAGCCAAAACGCAAGGCAATGCTAACTTTATATGTGTTGTCTTTAGAAGATTATTTGTAAGGTTTTTCTGTTTCTTTTTTTCAATAAATTTTCCACGATGCTTACAAAAACTTGTCAGCCGTCCAATATTCCGTTGACACGTAAGACTTCTTTTTTACTCCCTCCGTTCCAAAATAGGTGTCATTCTAGAGTTTTCACACAATTTAAGAAAACATTAAATATAGTAGTTAAATTACTAGAATATGCTTAACCAACTTCATTAGAATAAATGTTCACCAATAATATTATTTCTTTTGAGGATATGTTTGGAAATTACTGAGAAAAAATGCATTGGAATCCGAAAACGACACTTATTTTGGAATGGAGGGAGTACTTCTTTCTAATGAAAACTCACAACACTGTCAACAGAATAAAAAAAAATAAAAATAAAAAAAGGGAAAAAATCACAACACTTTCAACCCAAGAAAAGAATAATAATAATGAAAAACATCACCTTAGTAAAAAAAAACAAAAACAAAAAAAAAAACAAAAAACAAAAGCAAAAACATCACAACGCTCAAGTTAAGCAAAATTGTGTAGTAAATTAGTCCAAAAATAAACTTATGATTTTTTTTTTTTTAGAAAGAAATCAATAAACTTATGATTGACTAGGTTAGTATTAGTTTTCTGAATTTGTGCAAGGGTTTTAGCGAATTTTTTCATGAAATTGCATATGAATAACAATAAAAATAAAGAGTGTATGGCCACTCATCTATTACTTCCTCTCCTCAAAAACAAAATCTACATTCGTAGTTTGTGAATTGTACTTAAAATTATAATGTAAATTATTTTTCTAGACATAAATAATATATTTGAGATTTTTATTTCATTATTAGGGTTTTACTATTTTTGTACTTCTAATCTTGTGAAAAAAAAAACAACAACAATTACTACTTGTGATTTGAAAGTTGCCATGATTTATTTTTTCTTTTGAAAATGGGCCGTGATTTATTAGACATTTTACAAAATTTGAATATGGGTAATGATATTGTCAAAACAAATACTCCCTCCGTTATACACAAAAATAATCCAGTTTCAAAATGTACAATATTTTTAATTTAGTCAACCCTCCAAGATACAACTCATTTTTTGTTCCAAGAACTTCTAATTTTACCCCAATTTAAAATTTATAGCAAATATGATTCCCATACTTCCTTGATTTCTCTCTTTCGATCTCTCAAGCCGACGATATCAACCGCCGAAGATCCACCGGAGACCTGCCGATTACCTCTTCTCCCCACCGTTATCTTTTCATTTCCACCACCTCTCTACATTTTTTTTTTCAAAATCCGTGTTTAGGAAAAACCAACCTCTTTAACAGTTGTGAAAAAAGAAGAACAGAATCATTATCGTCAGTAAAAGCAGCAATATCAACATTAAAATCGGATATGGGATTCCTCTTCGTCTTTCTCCCAGAAGATCAACAACAATAGCATAAAGAAGAAGGAAACAATTGTTATTATAAGAAAAGATTTCAACAATTTGGTCAATTTCCATCCTTTAATAAGCGAACTAATTCAAGCCATTTTTCCAGAGCTCAATCCACCATTTCGATTTGTCCCCTTCTCATCTTTGTTACTTTGCTTTTGTTCACCCTCTCCACTTTTGAACCATCCGTTGCCTTCCCATTTAATTCTCGGAGACGGTTGATTACTGAGTTCCCAATTAATGCGTAATTAATGCCTAAATTTTGGATTTAGAGATTCACCATCGGATCTCGATCGATAAATCGCCGTCAGAACTGAAAGTTTGGTACTGGTCAGATATGTTTATCAAAAAGGTCATTTAAGTCATTTAACCTGTTTCAATTTTGACTTTTTTTGAAATTGGATTATTTTTTTGGAACGAGATTTTTTATCAAACTAGATTATTTTTGTGAGATGGAGGTAGCAATAGTATCCAAAACAAATTTATTATAAGAAGACAAAAATATCCTTTTAATTCACCACTCAATTTCTACCCCTTTGTTAGTCATGGAACGCTCCTCCCGCCTCCTGCCTCCTTTTTCCTAAACCTTTCTTCAACACTATTAACAATGAATTCAAATAGAAACTAAACTATAGCAAAAGTTATAATCTCAAGTCTAGAGTAATAAATAGACAACACAAGCCCTACTATTCAAACTAAAGACAAACTTCATGTATCTGGGGCAGTTGTAAACTTTCAAGCAACAAAATCAACTTCCATTTTCAAAAAAAAAAAAAAAAACTTTTTATTGAAGATTTTCTTATAATGTGTTGTAAGTTGTAACTAATCAAAAACCCTTTTAATCTTGATGGTGTTCAAAGTACCAGAAAATATATTCTTTATTTTTCCAGAAGCCACAGAGGTAAAGAGTTCACTCCAACTTTACAACACTAGATAAAGATGAGAGTATTTGGTTCAATCTCGGGAGCAAAGAGATTTTTGGGATAATTGTTTCTAATTTATTTTCAAATTCATTGAGCAACTGGAGATGATAAGATCTTAAGGTGAAAAATACTACTGAGAATTTGAACTCTACCTTGGAAACACTACCACAAAAATTGAAGACTCCTCGGTTTCAAAAGTTTATGCTTAAAATTGGGATAGCTATAACTCCATGCTTGAAATTGGGATCAATAGTGAGCACAATTGAAACCAATAATATCAAGATTAAAACAAATGCACAAAAAGAACGATTATGTTAAATTGTTGGATAAGAAAAGGGTGAGAAAAATGATGAACTAGTTAGGGCTGAGGTTTGGAAGTTGCGCGTAGTTAAGAGTAATACAGGAAACAATGAAAAAAATATTTTGGAAGCTAATAATTGTTTCGGTAATATTACTAACCTTTGAATATTAGGTGAGAAGAATGTTATATGAAGAATACAAAAATCACGACAAGTGAATATGAAGCAGTCGATCTCTAAACAAAAACTTTGTTACTCCGAGCTTGATGGCCTATGGCTGTTGTAGCAAATATATAAAGGTTACCTTCTTTTTAGTGATAAAATTTTAAGTTACCTTTTCTTTTTGTGATAAAATTGTTTAGGTTACTTTTAATTTCACAATAGCCATATCCATTAACGTCGAAATAACGCACTACCCAGTGTTAAATTGACACTTGAAAATACGTCACTTATTATTAATAATTTTTTTTTTCGATGAAACTGCAAATTTACATGCAAGACTCCATTATGATATCCCTTTTATCACTGAAATGCGTGCTTTTTTTTTCTTGTTCTGAAACAAAAGAAATATTCTTTTACAAACCATATGAAAGTTGAAATTGAAGGATTGCTAGATTCGTGCCTACTTTTTCATCCCATATTCTTCAATGCAATTTGTATAAACTCATCCATATACAAACTTTCAAAAAAAAAAAAAAAAAATCCCATATACAAAGGAGAAATTTGCTGTCTATTCCTTTTCTTAATCACAATCAATCCTTTGTATTGGAATTTGGAAGCTTCTCCCAAGTCCTTAGAGAAGATGTTGGGAAGGGACAGTGGTAAAGTTTATGTCTTTAGTTTTGGTAAATAAATTACAACACAACGAGTTTACAAAAAATTAAAATACTTTCGTTTCACTGATAATATAATACCGATTCGTAACTTTACAAAATTTAGAAACTGAAAACAATAATTAGAGTAACAACATTCTATAAGCATTCTTCCCTCTTTGCCTTCAAACCACACCCCCAAAAAAAAAAAAAGAGAAAAATTAAAAAAGACAAAAGTAAACTTAATCGATGGGGATAGTGAAATTAGTGATTACAATTTGGTGAGTTTGTCCAAGAATAAAGGAACAAAAAGTGTGGAAAAAATAAAAGGGAAGAAAAGAAAAAACAACAACAACAACATTTTGTTTTGTAGATTTCTTTTTTGGGGATTCTTGCCGTGGAAGAGGATTCAGATTCAGCAGCCAACAAATAAACCACACAAATTTAGTCCCCCCCATAATTAAATGCTATCCTAATAAAGAAAACGTTTTTAGAACAGTCCCTCACTCATCAGATATGGACTCCGTCACTAGATCCACCACCACCACCACTTCCACTTCCGGCCCACTCTGATGGCTTTCTCCTCCCGCCGCGGCGGCGTCGGCGGATGGGCCCAGTCCCTCCTCCCTTCATCCATCACCTCCAAACAACACTCATCCAAACAGCCCCGTAAATCCCGCAGACGCGCCGCTCTCAAGGACTTCGTCCTCACCAACTTCTTCACCATCGGACTCTCCGTCTCCTTCTTCCTTTTCATCCTCATTGTCTTCAGCTTCGGCGTCCCTAAACCCCTCTTGTCATCCCACTTCCGGAGAGGGGTTTCCCGGACCCGGAAGCCGTCTTACCGTAAGTCTCCGGCCAGCGACCCTGTTTCCGGGGCGGTGGTGGATATCACGACTAAAGGGTTGTATGATAAGATCCAGTTCTTGGATGAGGATGGTGGGCCCTGGACTCAAGGTTGGAAGGTGGGTTACAGAGGAAACGAGTGGGATGATGAGAAATTGAAGGTTTTTGTCGTTCCGCATTCCCATAATGATCCTGGTTGGTTGCTCACCGTTGAGGAATACTATAATCGACAGTCTAAACATATCCTGGATACCATCGTTGACACCTTGTCCAAGGTACAATTTATAAGAAATTTATATATAACTTGGGCATTTTTAATTTTTTTGTTCTATCACGTTAGTTTTGATTGAGTCAACTGCTAACTGAATTTTTTTATATTACGGTCGTGAATTGTTATTTATCTGATTCTCATTTGGTTGGACCCGTTTTTTTTATTTTTTTATTTTACTACATTTTAAAGCTTTATGTAATTCATTTGATTGGAATGGTAGGACAATCGGCGTAAATTTATATGGGAGGAGATGTCTTATTTGGAGAGATGGTGGAGGGATGCATCGGACTCCAAGAGAGAGTCTTTCATCAGTTTAGTGAAGAATGGACAGTTAGAAATCGTAGGAGGTGGTTGGGTGATGAATGACGAGGTAAATTTCATACTCATAGCTCTTCATTCCTAGTGCTACTTTCATCTGCTTTTTTTGACTGTTGCTGGGTATTTTCTTCTTAATTGATTTGATAATGAAGCAATTTGATAGAAGAGGTTCTTTAAACTGATGTGGTTAGGAATTCATTGCTGGAAAAAGGAAAAAATGGATTTAATTGGAAACGTTTTGGATGAGATGTCTTCTACGAATTTCTTAGTAGTGAATCTTTGTCCAGTTTGAAGATAGTTTCTGACTGTTAATTTTACTCTGCAGGCAAATTCACATTTTTTTGCCATTCTTGAACAGGTAAAAGTTCTAGCATTTCTTATGTCAACAGTGCTTGCTTCCACTTCTAGTTATTCCAATGTGATTTAAGTTTCAGTTCCTTTCTCGTTTTATTCCAATATGGACTAATTTGTTTTCTGCATGACAATTTCTACTTGAGGTTCTTTCTGAAATATTCCCGCCCCCAAAGAAACAATAGAAAGAAATGGGCAATGGAATGCTACAAAATTATTAGACGGCTGATTATGCTTGGGGAAAATGAGCTTGTTTGATATGTTTAACAGAAAAAATCGATCTGGGAACATTTATAGCAGGGAGTCTACTCTTAAAATTTGATTTGCTGTCTGCCGATCTCTTCGAAAAATACTAGTTGATGCTATTTTTTCATGTGTTTGCGTACTAACATATACTTTATTATGGAAACCTTGAATAGATTCATTATGTAGTTAGCTCCAATGTCCAAAAAAAGTGTTTTCTCCTAACGCGCCTTTCTAGTGCTCAGAGAAATATAACGCTTTATATTTTGGTCAATGCATGTGTATGTTCTTCATCTTCTCTTGATATTATTGCTTGTGGTTGTTGTGATCTGCTTCAGAAATCCCTTTTAAGATTTTGTTTTTCTATTTGCAATTTGTATTCAGATAACTGAGGGGAATATGTGGTTGAATGAAACTGTGGGTGTTATTCCCAAAAATTCATGGGCTATAGATCCTTTTGGTTATTCACCAACTATGGCATATCTTCTGCGTCGTATGGGTTTTGAGAATATGCTTATACAGAGGACTCACTATGAAGTGAAGAAGGAACTGGCCCTGAATAAAAATTTGGAATATGTATGGAGACAGAGCTGGGATGCTAATGAAGCAACTGACATTTTTGTTCATATGATGCCATTCTATTCTTATGACGTTCCACATACTTGCGGGCCAGAGCCAGCAGTTTGTTGTCAATTTGACTTTGCTCGTATGCGGGGGTTTGTTTATGAACTTTGTCCATGGGGAAAGCATCCCGTTGAGACTAATCAAGAAAATGTCAAGGAGAGAGCAAACATGCTGCTTGATCAATATAGGAAAAAATCAACACTGTATCGAACAAACACATTGCTTGTTCCTCTTGGTGACGATTTTCGTTACATCAGTATTGATGAAGCAGAAGCTCAATTTAGGAACTATCAGATGCTTTTTGATTATATAAATTCTGATCCTAGCTTGAATGCCGAAGCAAAATTTGGCACTCTTGAAGATTACTTTCAGACTCTGCGCGAGGAGGCAGAGCGGGTTAATTATTCACGGCATGATGAGGTTGGATCTGCTCAGATTGGAGGTTTTCCATCTTTATCGGGTGATTTCTTTACCTATGCTGACAGGCGGCAAGATTATTGGAGTGGTTATTATGTTTCCCGGCCATTCTTCAAGGCCGTTGATCGTGTACTTGAACATACGCTTCGTGGTGCAGAAATAATGATGGCCTTTTTGCTGGGATATTGCCAGAGAGCTCAGTGTGAAAGGTTACCAACTGGATTCTCCTATAAGCTTACAGCTGCTCGAAGGAATCTAGCTCTATTCCAGCATCATGATGGCGTAACTGGTACTGCCAAGGATCATGTGGTTCAAGACTATGGGACACGGATGCATATGGCTTTACAGGACCTCCAAATTTTTATGTCAAAGGCCATAGAGGTATTGCTTGGAATCCGACATGAGAAAGTTGATCAGTTTCCTGCTCAATTTGAGCCGGCCCAAGTACGGTCTAAGTATGATGCTCAACCAATTCATAAAGTAATCACTGCTCAAGAAAAAACAGTTCAGACTGTTGTAATTTTCAATCCACTGGAGCGAACACGAGATGAAATTGTTATGGTCGTTGTTCAGAGACCGGATGTAACAGTTCTGGACTCAAATTGGACATGCGAGAAGAGCCAGATTTCTCCTGATTTGGACCAGAATAGAAGCACTCTCTTCTCTGGAAGGCATCGTCTTTACTGGAAAGCTTCTGTACCTGCAATGGGATTGCAAACATATTATATAGCTAATGGTTTTGTGGGATGCGAAAAGGCCAAACCAGCAACCATACGCATCTCTAGCTCTGATCAACTACCCTGTCCTGCTCCCTATGCTTGCTCAAAGGTGGAAGGTGACAGCATTGAAATCAGTAATCAACATAAGAAACTCACTTTCGGTGTCGACCATGGTTTGTTGCAGAAAATAACCCACCAGGATGGTTCTCAAAATGTTGTGAATGAGGAGATTAGTATGTACTCCAGCATTGAAAGTGGAGCGTACTTATTCAAACCTAATGGAGATGCTGAACCCATCATCCAAGCTGGTGGGACAATGGTAGTTTCCGAGGGCAATATGGTTCATGAAGTGTACTCATTTCCAAAAACAGCATGGGAAAAAGGCCCAATTTCCCACAGTACTCGCATTTATAATGGTGAGAAGACCATACAGGAACATCTTATTGAGAAGGAGTATCATGTTGAACTTCTTGGAACTGATTTCAACGATAGAGAGTTGATAGTTAGGTACAACACTGATATTGATAACAAACGCATTTTCTTTTCCGACTTGAATGGGTTCCAGATGAGTCGTAGAGAAACATATGACAAGATCCCCTCGCAGGGAAATTACTATCCAATGCCATCGCTTGCCTTTATGCAAGGGTCAAATGGATTGCGCTTCTCTGTCCATACACGTCAGTCACTAGGTGTGGCAAGCCTTAAGAATGGACATTTGGAGATCATGCTTGATCGGCGCTTGACAAGAGATGATGGGCGTGGCCTTGGCCAAGGAGTGATGGATAACCGACCAACCAATGTAATGTTCCACATCCTTCTGGAGGCCAATATATCAGTACCTACCCATCCTTTATCAAACTCTCATCCCTCGAGTCCCTCTCTTCTCTCCCATTTGGTTGGTGCTCATTTGAATTATCCTTTACATATATTCATTGCCAAGAAGTCCCAGGAGATATCTGTGCAGCCACCTCCTAGATCTTTCTCTCCTTTGTCAGTGCCATTGCCTTGTGACCTGCATATAGTCAGCTTTAAGGTTCCTCGCCCTTTAAAATTTTTTCAGCAGCCAGTTGAAGAGAGCAGGTTTGTTTTGATCTTGCAGAGACTACATTGGGACTCATCATATTGTCATAAAGGCAGGTCAGATTGCGCGAGCGTCGCCGATGAGCCAGTGAATTTGTTTGAGATGTTTAAGGGGCTTTCAGTATCAAATGCACAAGCAACGTCGTTGAACCTCTTACATGGTGACACTGATATGTTGGGTTACAGTGAGCAGTTTATGGACGGGGCCCAAGAAGGGCATGTCCTCATATCTCCCATGGAAATACAGGCTTACAAGCTTGCTATTCGGCATCAAGAGTGAGTATGGCACTTGAGAAAGATCTACTGACATGTGACTGTTCTCATGGATACTGTTCTCAAACCATTTCTAGGTTAGAGAATTTTGTTTGGTCCTCCGCCCGCTGCCAATGCAGTTGTGAATGCCCGCTGCCAAATGCAGTTGTGAATGGAACCCGACTTCCTGCAGCCTTTTGGGATTAGACCATTTCACACTACAGCATCGAAAGGTGCTTCAAAGATAACTGTAGTGAATTGCTGAGGGGAAAAAGAATCAGTTGTTGATCGGGAGCCGGGCTGTTTATAGATTAGATAATGTAGATTTCATTGTAGTATATAGTGCCAAGCTGATTTATAGTTTTCTGCATACTATCTCGGAAGAAATGTAATAGGGTCAATAATACTTGCCTAAAACCCGGGTCAATAATACTTGCCTAAAACCCATTAACATCAGAATCCAAGTTTTGTTAGTATTTGAAGAAGTTGAATTTAGTTACACGGAGAAAAGTTGGTCACTGCATATCGTTTGCGTGTGCATGAATGTAAGCAACATGACTGACATTGCGACAACCACAAGCAACTCTATCAGATGGGTAGTACTTTGTTACATATAAAATGGTACCAAGGTTTTCTTTAAATAAAAACTAAACAAAATCGTGTGAACATACCCTGCCTGGCTCTTCAAATCAGAGTAATCATACCCAGCCCAGTTCTTTAAATCAGAGTAATCAATAATACTGCATAGCTTTAAAAAGTCTTGTTCCTGAGCATACAATTCGCCCTATCACTTCCAATATACTGAGAGAGGTAAGTAGTTTCCATCCCAAAACACAGAAAGTTTGTAGACAATTTAGCTGATTATCCACCCAGGCTCAAACAGTCCCATGGATCTCGAAACACGGAGCATCTTTCAAACACAGATTTTACTTGGTGAAAAGATCACTCACTCTGGCAAGTGCCTCCACGTCAGTATTTGCTCATCTTACTTCCACTGCTTAATTGTACGTGACCATATTTCAGGCTTTCAGCATACATAAAGCTCAAAAGCAGCCTGAAAGAATGATGTTCCAACTCAGTTAACTAGGAACACGAAAATGAAACATTTTTTAATACACAACTACAAACCTTGGAAAGAAAATGAGGGCCATGTTCTCAAGTAAAACTGACAGCATTCCACTAGCCTTCCCACCAGAGACAGCCATTGCTCAATGTGTCAAGAATATGCCACGGCGTCGACATAATAATTTCTCAACTATTCTTTCATAGATTGAACTTGTAGAGTTAAATCCTTGATGCCAGCATCATATAATAGGTCGGACACTTGAGCTTTTATATAGGCCTTATCTGCCTCTCTCGAAACATGAAGATGGAGGGTCCCAACCACATCTGTATTTGTCAAACTCCAAACATGCAGGTTCTGAATTCCACTAACACCATCCAAGTTCATAACATTATTTAAAGCACTTCCAAGATCCTTCTGAAGAGTTCTTGGGACTCTTTGCAGCAAAACCTCGGCTGAATTTCTAAGCAATGGGATCACCGAATATACAATTAAGACAGAAATAAAAATAGAGCAGGCAGGGTCGGCTGCAAGCCATCCTTTGTACTTAATTAAGAGTGTCGCAACAACTACTCCGACACTCCCCATGGTGTCTGCTAGAACATGTAGGAAGATACCTTCCATATTATGATCAATATGATGGTGATGCTTCCCTTGCTGCTGCTTACTTTGATCTTTGGGGTGCAGATTACTCCCACCAGATTGAATTTCATGAGAGTGGCCACTGCAACTCAAGGAATCATTATTGACTAGGTGACCGCTCTGGTGACCATGATCAGCGTCGCTATTTTTGTGTGGGCATTTTGAACCATGAGTGTGGTGATTTTCATCAGCATGGCAATCATGATCATGCGCATGGTGTTTGTCATGAACAGAATAAAAGTTCGAACGGGTATCCGAGATGACAGTAACACCCTTTTCATTCCTGTGCTGGCTTTGGTGGTTATGATGATCATGATCCTGTGAATGCTGGTGATCATGGTCATGTGAATGTTGGTGATCGTGGTCATGAGAATGATGGTGATCGTGGTCATGTGAATGTTGGTGATCGTGGTGATGAGACTGATGGTGGTCATGGTTATGTGAAAGTTGGTGATCATGGTGGTGGTGAGAATGGGAGTGGGAGTGAGAGCATGATCCTGAACCACCATGCGCATGATGATGCTCCTCATGAAAGAAAATGAGCCCAACTACATTCACTAGCAGACCCCCCACAGAAACTGCCAACAAACTGCTTGTAGAGATCTCTTGAGGATCAAGAATTCTCTCAAATGATTCCAGTACGATTAATGCTCCGACAAGCACCAGAAGAACAGCATTGACATATCCCGACAGAACTTCAAATCTGCCACGGCCATAGTTAAATTGGCCATTTGCTGGCAGCCGGGAAATGTAGGAAGCATAAAGACCAATTGCCAAAGCAGCGCAATCAAACAACATGTGACATGCATCAGAAATCAACCCAAGACTGTTACTCATGAATCCAGCAACGAATTCCACCACCATATATGCAGTGTTTATCAAGAGGAAAAGAGCAATCTTGCGGGATTTCCTTTCACTCAAAATGTGGCGAACTGGCTTCATAACCGAGGCAGTAAATGAATCTGGTGAATCTACACCTAATTCAAGATAACCAGACCTGTATGGATCTAATCCTCTAACCGAAAACCACAGCAACAATCCACAAATCAGTAAACCCCACAGGGAGAGCTCTGGAAAGTAGATCAACTCCAAAACAACTGTGCAAACAAATGTAACAAGATACTCCTTTTGGAAATCTTTGGATGGAGTCAGTTTCTCATCTGTATAATTCTCACTCAAAAGCACTCCGAAAACAACTGTATTAGCCAGTGGCCATCCGAGGCTTGCTACCGATATACTATCCCCTTCAGCCTCAAAAACAAACATACTAATCAAAGCAGGAATGAAGAGCAGAGCAGTCATGTAAAACAAACAAATTAACCGCACCCGTTTACGACCCATTTCTCGAATAGTTCCCCAATTACTGGAAACCCGCTCATAACATCCTAAAAACCCAGAAAGAAATGGGAGCACCATGGGCCATATTCTAACACAATCCCGGCCAGGGAAAACTGAGAAGCCATTCTTATTGATGTTGATAGATGATAGAGGAAAGCACTCAATACGATCCCAGCTGATAGACAAGAAAATTATTCCACAAAATAAAGCAATAAACCCTTGAATCTTTCCTGAACCAAATCCCCTTTTATCAATGAAATATGGATTCTTGCGCTCAGCAACGAACCGTGCTGCCACATTCCCAGACAATTCAGCAAGGATCATGGCAGCAGTGCCACAGTAACGGAGAGCTTGGAAACGGAGGAGGAATACTATGGCAAGGAGCAGCGACTTGGCCAGCAGAAGTCTATGTTGAGATTTGAGAATTGAAGTGAGAGAGAAAATGGGCTGGCGCTGTTTCTGATAAAAAGGGCCTCTATTGGAAGAAGCTGGTGAAGTGACAAGAGAAAAAGAGAGGGTGAGAAGGAAAGAGAGGAGAGACACAAGGAAAGCGAAGGGGAAGATGGAGAAAGAGGAAGGAGAAGAACGGAGGAAAGGAAGGAGAGAGTAAAGGGAACGAAGAGAGAAGAGAAGGAGGAAGAGAAAAGAGAGGGAGGATGTTTTTGAGGTAGAATATTTGGTGGACAGATACGGCAGCCGTTGTTTAGAGGGGGTTGGCGTGGGAGTCAATGCTGTGGTGTAGGGGAATCCTTGAGTTTGAAGGTGTCCAGTTCTAATAGTGTTTGTCGAGGTAGTGGGGATGGTGGTGCGGGGCGGAAGAGATAAACGGCTAGGCCGATGGTGATCGTGGTGGTGCTCTGTCATTTTCATGAATGGGAGTAGAAGAGCAGAGGCTTCAACCTTGCACCGCCAATGATCTTGAGTGATTGCGAATAGGTTATCGGGTATTTATCGTCTGGGATAAGGTTTCAAACTAGATAGTCTTTACTGTTATCCTGATTGAATTGACAAATCACCTGTCAATGGTCTGTTCCGGCTTCTCTTCAAGAATATTTTGTCTATTTGATGAACTTTTCCAGCTATTGAATGCTGAGCAAGCTAGAACATTGTCCACAGGCTTGAGAAGTTCTGTTCTAACCCAGGCACATCACAGCCCATTTACAGTCCCATCCCTAATAGAAAAGATGGCTGTTCGAGGCAATGGTGACCCAACACAAAAAAAAAGAAAAAAAGAAATCAAATATCAGAACTGGAACCACTATGCAAAGTCGATTAGTTTGTTACTGAAATGGAAGTTAAAAACACATTCTTGTCAGCTTTTAAAATAATTAACAAAGATCTATCAGTGGATGAATGAGTGGTCGCGGCACAGCAGGAGTGAAATATTATTTTATTCTACCTAGATTAAAAAAAGAAAGGAACACACAGCCACAAATAATATAACTCAAAAGCAATTTCATTGCGCTACTGCAACACCTAAAATGGGAAAAAATAATTATAATAGCTGTAAATTTTCCTCCCTGATTAATACTGCTCCACCAGTAATAGACAGTAGTATTAACCAATTATTCAACCCTGCTAAGATATCTAAGTACTTTACAGTGAGAGATTCATGTCTTAATAGGGACTGAATGAGCTTGATTCATAACAATAGGAATCTGTGAGTATTTTCAGTACACTGTACTTTCAGATATTGAACATATAGCATCAAGTGTCAAACAAAAGCAACCTGCCCGTGTAATACACACTAGATAGTGCCTCAAACTCTCGAAAACATCAGATAAGTACAAACTACAGAACTTTCGGCGCAAATTATTAAACTGCAAAAGTAAGGGCCGGCTTTTATATCAAATTAAATAATCAGGGAACTCGTAGCAAAGGGCGATCTCATGTAACCCAAGCGTATCAATAATAGGAAAGGGAATTGTCGAAGCAGTGAAGACCTAAATCTAAACAAGAAAAATCAATCGGAAACTGAAACGGTAACCAGAGATAGAATAGGCTGTTACTGAACATAATTCAAGAAACAAAGCCACTCTACTGTTGGAATTAGTGACAGAACTTAATCATAGATACCAAATTAAAACAAAAGATCAAAAAGGTCAGGGCAGCATTGATAGGCTTGTCGTCCTATTCCTAACTGAAAATGAAAGAAAGAAACAAAGCAACTGAAGAAATAACTAAAGCCAACTCCATTTGAGCTATCACAACACCTAATAACGTTAAACAACATTCTTCCCAGAGCATTTAAAACCTACCAATAACTCAAAACTAGAAAATCAATCAAAGATCCAATTTTGATAAGCAAGTCTTATTAATTCCAAAGCTTCACATGAATATTGCAAAGATCATGAACTCAGAAAATAATCCGAAAGCCTAAAAAAAAATTAAATTTCTACAACACTAAATTGAACCAGTGGTCTGAACGAAGGACTGCAAAAGAAAATCACTAACTAGATGTAAATGGCGGACGAGTCTTACCCTTGACCTGGGAAGACTAGGTTGATCGGATGTCTCGTCGGACCAATCGAAGAACTGAGAAGATAACTAGGGAAGAAGACGGACGCCCTTGCCGGCCAAAACCCGACGGCAACGCGAACTGTTAAATCACTTCAATAACTGCTATAAGTAGAAAGATGGACACAATCCCAGTGTACGACGTTCCTATCCTCGTATTCTCTCCAGGGAAAGAAAAATATAATTACAAAAGAGCCCCTGAATGTTTATGTAACTTTAATATACAGACTTGTTTAATTGAAATCTACACTTAATTTGATCAATTTGATATCTTTTTTTCTTTGTAAACAGTTTTGATGCATTTCAAAAGAACTTGGAATTCCATATCAATTACTCACTCTGTCATAAAAAATAAAAAAAGGTCCACAGTTAATTTTGATTGTATCGTGTTATGATTTCATTTGAATCCCATATTGAAATCAGATTTTTGTAGTTTATGGAGATAAGTCCACACGAAATTAAATATGGGCATCTTCGTACGATTTTTGATGCTTACATTTTTTTAAATTATAACTCCCTCTATACTACAACAACAATAACAAATTTTTTTTCTCACTAGGAAAATTTGGCTATATGAGTCATATGTCGCTATTGTACTCGATCGGTACAAAAATTATAACTTTCTCTATCCAAAAAAAAAAAAAATCTACATTGAGATTTGAAATTGTATTAGTTTTTTTTTAAAAGATTTTGAAAATTCAATGTAAACTATTTTTCTTATGCGGTGAGAGTAGTATTTATTTTTGGATGAAATGATAAAGAAAAATAATAAAATTAATATATATATATATATATTTGCATAGTGAAAAATAATGATTACATTACAGTTTTTTCAACCCACGATCTAGTGACATATCAAATCAAACAATCTCAATGCCCGTCGGTTAATAAATTATTTAATAATCCGAAAAAAAAAAAATCCAATATATAAGACCATCTCAAACACTATCCATAGTCCAATTGTTATTATTGGCCCTCCAAGTCAACTACATTCTTGGCGCACTATTAGGACAGGAGAATGAATTAGAAATTATGAACAGATCACAAGGCATATTGTTTTACAATTTTTTTCTTTTTTTTTAATTATATTCAAACAGAAATGGATGGTTCACCTTCACGGCTTCACCCACATGGTTTCTTACACAGTTCACATCATCGCGTATTTGATTCTCTTTCCGTTCCTATTCCATAGGATTTACAACCATTAGTAAAAAAAATATAAAGTTTTCATATGTATAGTATACGACTTACTTGAATATTTTCCTTATATTTTATGTTTTTTTTTTCATCGTGATTGTGCAATTTAAAATTTTATTTTTAATATAAATTATAAATAAAACTCTAAACAAAACAATCACGGTGCGACATAAGAAATATTAATTTTATTTGTTCAATAGTAATCCTTTGGAATAGAAAGATAGAAGTTCGTACTATTTTTACGAGTATTTTTAGTTAGGGGTAAGAAACAAAAAATTATTGGGTACAACTGCTGTATCTTGTTTTTTAGTGCAGCAAGTATTCGCACCTCTATTTTGGGGATATAACTCCCGTAGAAATTATCTCTCTCCCCCCAAAATTACTAATTTACCCCTATTATTGTGTTTGGTTGCACAATCCTACGTGATACAGTAATTGCACTGAATAATTTCTGGTGATAAGTGGACAGTATAAGTAGACTTGAGACATAAAATTCAACTCCCAATTCGGCGGTTAATTGAACAAACAAAGTCAACCCTTCCAGTAACTTTCACAAATGCTCTTCTTCTTCTTCTTCTGCTGTCAACAAAGTCAACCCTTCTGTGATCAGATGATTTTCTTTGTTAGTTTCCTCACACCACCACCGCCTGATGGCTAAATCCTCCCACCGCGGTGGAGGTGGATCACTCCTTCCCGCCACCCATAACCACACGTGGAAACATCCCCGAAAATCCCGCAAACCACCGACAAGTATCTCCTTCACCGTTGGACTCCCCGTTTTCCTTATCCTCCTTTTCATCCTCATTACCTTCTCATCCAACTTCCAGCTGGCCGTCCAAAAGCACCCGGCCGTGCAGCCGATGGTGGCAACGGCGGATATAACGACCAAGGGGTTGTATGATAAGATGGAGTTCTTGGATGAGGATGGAGGAGCTTGGAAGCAAGGGTGGAACGTGAGTTACAAAGGAAACGAATGGGATGATGATGAGAATAAATTGAAGATATTTGTGGTTCCACATTCCCATAATGACCCTGGTTGGTTGCTCACCGTCGAGGAATATTATGCTCAGCGCTCCAGACACATCCTGGATACCATCGTTGAAGCTTTGTCCAAGGTAATTTTAATTAGAGTACAACTAAAATATCAATGTAGAAAACACAAGGAGCTTTACTTTTGAGTGTGTGTGTGTGTGTGTGTGTGTGTGTGTGATTAATGGTTACAATTTTGGTTTTGTGTGTGATTGGAATTAATGTAGGACAGTCGGCGTAAATTTATATGGGAGGAGATGTCTTATCTGGAGAGATGGTGGAGGGATGCATCGGATTCCAAGAGAGAGTCTTTCATCAGTTTGGTGAAGAATGGACAGTTAGAAATCGTGGGAGGTGGTTGGGTGATGAATGACGAGGTGAAATTTCATACTCATGGCTCTTCATTCCTAGTGCTACTTTCATCTTCTTTTTTTTTTTTTTTTTGACTGTTGCTGGGCAATTTTTTTTTCTTTAATTGATTTGATAATGAAGCAATTTGATAGAAGAGGTTCTTTAAACTGATGTGGTTAGGAATTCATTGCTGGAAAAAGGAAAAAATGGATTTAATTGGAAACGTTTTGGATGAGATGTCTTCTACGAATTTCTTAGTAGTGAATCTTTGTCCAGTTTGAAGATAGTTTCTGACTGTTAATTTTACTCTGCAGGCAAATTCACATTTTTTCGCCATTCTTGAACAGGTAAAAGTTCTAGCCTTTCTTATGTCAACAGTGCTTGCTTCCACTTCGTGTTATTCCAATGTGATTTAAAGTTTCAGTTCCTTTCTCGTTTTATTCCAATATGGACTGATTTGTTTTCTTCATGACAATTTCTACTTGAGGTTCTTTCTGGAATTTATTTTTTCCCCCCCTCTAAAGAAACAATAGAAAGAAATGGGCACTGGAATGCTATAAAATTATTACACGGCTGATTATGCCTGGGGAAAATGAGCTTGTTTGATATTTTTAACAGAAAAATCTATCTGGTAACATTTATAGAAGGGAGTCTACTCTTAAAATTTGAGTTGTTGTCTGCCGATCTCTTTGAAAAGTACTAGTTGACGCTATTTTGTCATGTGTTTGCTTACTACCACATACTTAATTATGGAAACCTTGAATAGATTCATTATGTAGTTAGCCCCAGTGTCCCAAAAAAGTGTTTCTTCCTAACGCTCCTTTCTAGTGCTCAGAGAAATATAACGCTTTATATTTTGGTCTGTATTATGCATGTGTATGTTCTTCACTGCAGAAGATACTACTTGCTGTTATTGAAATCTGTTTCAAAAATATTCTCACCAGTTCATACTTTTTTGAATTGCAACTTACATCTCAGATAACCGAGGGGAATACATGGTTGAATGAAACTGTAGGTGTTATACCTAAGAATTCTTGGGCTATAGATCCTTTTGGTTATTCACCCACAATGGCGTATCTTCTGCGTCGCATGGGGTTCGAGAACATGCTTATACAGAGGACACATTATGAATTGAAAAAGGAACTGGCCCTGCATCAGAACTTGGAATATGTATGGAGGCAGAGCTGGGATGCGGATGAAACCACCGACATTTTTGTTCACATGATGCCCTTCTATTTTTATGACATTCCACATACTTGTGGACCAGATCCAGCAGTTTGTTGTCAATTCGACTTTGCTCGAATGCCGGGGTTTGAATACCAACATTGTCCGTGGGGACAGCATCCAGTTGAGACTAATCAATCAAATGTCAAGGAGAGAGCAACCAAGCTGCTTGATCAGTACAGGAAGAAATCAACACTGTATCGAACAAATACACTGCTTGTTCCTCTTGGAGATGATTTCCGATATGTCAGCATTGATGAAGCAGAAGCCCAGTTTAGGAACTACCAGATGCTATTTGATTATATAAACTCTGATCCTACCTTGAATGCCGAAGCGAAATTCGGTACTCTTGAAGATTACTTTCAGACTCTGCGTGAGGAGGCTAAGCGAGTTAATTATTCGCGGCATGGTGAGGTTGGATCTGCTCAAATCACAGGTTTTCCTTCTCTATCGGGTGATTTCTTTACCTACGCGGATAGACAGCAAGATTATTGGAGTGGTTATTATGTTTCTCGGCCTTTCTTTAAGGCGGTTGATCGCGTACTTGAACACACACTTCGTGCTGCAGAAATAATGATGGCTTTTTTATTGGGATATTGCCAGAGAGCTCAGTGTCAAAAGTTACCAACTGGATTCTCCCCTAAGCTGACAGCTGCTCGAAGGAATCTAGCTCTATTCCAGCATCATGATGGGGTAACTGGTACAGCCAAGGATCATGTGGTTCAAGACTATGGAACAAGGATGCATATGGCATTACAGGACCTCCAACTTTTTATGTCCAAGGCCATAGAGGTATTGCTTGGAATCCGAAATGAAAGTGATGATCAGTATCAAGCTCTATTTGAGCCAGTCCAAGTACGGTCTAAGTATGATGCTCAACCAGTTCATAAAGTAATCACTGCCCACGAAGAGACAGTACAGACTATTGTGATTTTCAATCCGCTGGAGCAAGTACGAGATGAGATTGTTATGGTCATTGTTCAGAGACCGGATGTAACAGTTCTGGACTCAGATTGGAGGTGCATTAAGAGCCAGATTTCTCCTGATTGGCACCAGAACAGTAGCACACTGTTTTCTGGAAGGCATCGTCTTTACTGGAAAGCTTCTGTACCTGCAATGGGATTGCAAGCATATTATATAGCTAATGGTATTGTGGAATGTGAAAAGGCCGAACCGGCAAGAATACGCATATCTAGTCCTGATCATTTACCTTGTCCTGCTCCATATGCTTGCTCAAAGGTGGAAGGTGACAGCATTGAAATCAGTAATCAACATACAAAACTCACCTTCAGTGTTGAGTTTGGTTTATTGCAGAAAATAACCCGGCAGGATGGTTCTGAAAATGTTGTGAATGAGGAGATAAGTATGTACGCCAGCACTGAAAGTGGAGCATACTTGTTCAAACCTACTGGAGATGCTCAGCCCATCATCCAAGCCGGTGGGACATTCGTAATTTCCGAGGGCAACATGGTTCATGAAGTGCACTCTTTTCCGAAAACAGCTTGGGAAAAAGGCCCGGTTTCCCACAGTACTCGAATTTACAATGGTGAGAAGACCATACAGGGACACATGATTGAGAAGGAATATCATGTTGAGCTACTTGGATCCGATTTCAATGACAAAGAGTTGATAGTTAGGTACAAGACTAATATTGATAACAGACGCATTTTTTACAGCGACTTGAATGGGTTCCAGATGAGTCGTAGAGAAACTTATGACAAGATCCCTCCACAGGGAAATTACTATCCAATGCCCTCGCTTGCCTTTATGCAAGGATCAAAAGGGTCGCGCTTCTCAGTCCATACACGACAGGCACTGGGTGTGGCATGCCTTGAGGACGGACATTTGGAGATCATGCTTGATCGGCGCCTGACTAGAGATGATGGACGTGGTCTTGGCCAAGGAGTGATGGATAACCGGCCAACTAGTGTAGTTTTCCATATTCTCTTGGAGTCAAATATATCAGCTCCAGCTAATCCTTTATCGAACTTTCATCCCTTGACTCCTTCTCTTCTCTCCCATTTGGTTAGTGCTCACTTGAATTATCCCCTGCATATATTTATAGCCAAGAAGTCTGAGGAGATATCTATGAGGCCACCACCTCCTAGATCTTTCTCCCCTTTGTCAGCGCCCTTGCCTTGCGACTTGCATGTGGTGAACTTTAAGGTTCCTCATCCTTCAAAATATTTCCAGCAGCCACTTGAGGAGAGCAGGTTTGTTTTGATTTTGCAGAGACGGCATTGGGACGCATCTTATTGTCACAAGAGCAGGTCAGACTGCAAGAGTGTTGCTAATGAGCCAGTGAGTTTGTTCGAGATGTTCAAGGGGATTGCAGTATCAAAAGCACAAGCCACTTCGTTGCACCTTTTACATGATGACATAGAAATGTTGGGTTACAGTAAACAGTTTAAGGATGGTGCACCAGAAGGGCTTGTCCTCATATCTCCCATGGAGATACAGGCCTACAAGTTGGATGCTCGGCATCAAGAGTGAGTACGGCGCATAACCATGATTCTCACTCTATTCGGATGGATAATCACTTCTTACACCAATAGAGAAAAAACAATTGTGTTCTCAACAATACGTCTTGGAACAAAAATGACCTCTTCCCCTTGAAACTTTAACATCAGAATGCTAACTGGTTGGTCACTATTTGAAGTTCAATTTAGTTGTGGGCATGGAACGAATGGTTGGTGCAGGTCTATTGTTCAATTAACACTGGATCAAACAAGGCCAAACGGACAACTGTCCCCTTGCCCCTTGAACCACTTACTCTCTTAGTTCTTGGTGCCAATCTTGCTTTTGGTCATCGAAGACGCCTAGAGATTAAGAGTGAAGACTTTTACCTTTTATAAATTCCCACGCTTACAATGTTAAGCGAGTTCAAGTGCACAAGTGCTTCCATGGCTAATGCGGGCAATTACAATGTAACTAAATACATATGCTTCATCAGAGGAAGAAGAACTTGAAAAAAAAAAAATGAAAAAACCACTTTCTGGTAGCATTAGAAAGCTCATACTTCTTCAAATTAACAAAACTCATTAAAATAAGTTGAACTTGAGAACATATAAAACCCTTACAGCAGAAGGAATTTCAAACTAATCGGGGGGGGTCGGAAGCATTACATTGGAATTCTAGGGACTAACAAGGGGTGGGATCTTATGATTGGTTGCTCTACATGCAAAATGTAATAATGAATTATGTTAACTGCAAAATTTGAGCAACAATGATACATTCACGATATACTGTGGTGGGCTTTGCAAAGCTTCTGAAACCTCAGCTCCATTACCTCATAGAATGATTTCTTCCTGCACACTTACATTGAGGGTTTTATGAGGTAGAACGATGCTATTAATCACAACTACTTCATCTTCAACACCAACAGACTCCCCTGCATAAGCATAATGACAAGTCATTTTCTATCCAAATTCAGTTCCCCATTAGAAAAACGAAAACAATACTCAGATTATCCGGTGAAGTACCTAGAATGGTAGTCCCAAGCTTGGCGTTGTAGTCCCCTTGACCCTGTACATCAATTTTTTTGTGACGCATACGTATAGTTGAAAAATTTTACTGATAAATCACCCAAAACTAAATATAGGTTTTCTGCAGAAGCGACCCTGGCTACTGGTTGATGAATATGTTTCTTACACTCTTCTAGCATTAATAATATTTGCGTCATAATTACCCTCAGATACACTGCTAAACAGATGTGATGATATGATGATAAAACACCTACCACAGTGCAAGTCATTAATATTGCTAAAGCAACAATGAAACACCAGAGTGAATGTTATTCAGAGATAAAACTAAGAAAGCTCACCTGTACACGGGACCACTTCCCAAGAGATGACTTCCACCCAACAATGGCATGCAAAACAACGGCATTTTCCTGTAAGTAGAAAAAACAATTATTACGTTGGACTTTTTTCTATCCATACTGCAAGTAACATCCTAGACTTGTCAATCTTACCTTGATTTCTACATCATCTAGTATGATGCAGTTGATAAGTCTCGCTCCTGCAGCTACACGAACATTTGCCGATATCGAAACATTTGGCCCAATCTGCTTAAAAAGCACAAATCATTTCACATGAAACAGCAGTAGAAATAAAGAAGTTACCCCAAAATGATAATCTTATGAATTGAAAGTGGAAATAAAGTTTCCAAAAGTACAAGTAAGCCAGATTACAGAAGAGATAATAACCTTTGCTGTAGGATGTACTTTTGCTGATGGATGGATATAAACATCACCAACAACTTTTGCACTCCTAGTACCATCTCCACTAGCTAGAAGATGAGGTGTTGTATGACGAAATTGAGCAAGATATAAACCAGAACATTTCAACGACATTCTGAAAAGTAAAACAAAGACTCAAACATCTGAAACACTTCTTATTCAAAATTTAAAGTAGAAGGCAAACACTAGATATCTAACCCTGGAGTTTTTATTTGCTCCCAGAAATCCATAGTTTCATAAGTATAAAACTTTTTCTTCCCAGCGAGGGGGGACAAAATGTCTTGATCCAATCTAACAAAATCTTTTGGAAGAGACCTGTCAATAACAATCTACATCAGAATAATAACAAATCAAAATTTAGAAGTATTTTATCTGGACACACCCATGCACATGCATCAATATGAGTTCTAAGGAAGCTGACAATGTGCACTCAGAAAATATAAAAAGTAGCTAAGTTTCCATCAGTATACACATTTCCTACAAATTTATCGTGTTATAATGACTTTACACCAAAAAAACTTCTTAAGAAAGAGTCCGTACCTAGTCGCTAGTTGGAGAGCTTCAAAACTGGACACACGCCGTAGATTGGCTGCAAGTGGCCAAATCATTGAGTAAGACCAGAAAGCAATTGCAGGCATTATATGAGCAAAGAAGTATAACATGCAACCCTGGCGTGCTTTTTGCATAATGCCAAAAAAAATAACTGTTGCATAGTGTTAATTCGCTTGCAGAGATTCAATTCTTTCCATAAATCCTAATCTGGTGATTGGCAAGAGAAGACCAGTCATTCTCATCCCAAAAACAAGAGAATCTTGGTCATGCTATGCTAAAAACATTCTAGCCAATTAAGTCATACTCAACTCCAGGGACCTCTATATTTCAAATAGATATTTTATTTGGTATGAGAAGAATAGTCAGAAGTATTGTACAGGTTACAGGGTGGCTCACCTCTATCTTCTCTGTGGGATGACACATTGCTTATTGCATCCAAAATTTCTGGAGTAAAAATGTACACACCACAGTTAATCAGATCACTCACCTGTATAACAAATGAAAAGGCTATGAAAATATGTACGAGCTTCAGCTAATGAGCCTTTGTAGAGTGTGATTAATGATTATTTCCAAGAAAGAAGATAAGAACTCTTTATGCAGAAAGAAACATACAAAAGTCTCAGGTTTCTCTGTGTAATGCAGTAGTTCTTTCGTATTTGGATCAGCAACCAATTCTCCAAACTCGTTTGCTGATTCAGCAGAGACCTATCAAGTTTGATATAAAATGCAAGTTGAGTTCAAGTTGGCAATTTTCAATTTCAAAAAAATGAAAGTTTCTTCTACAAGATCTAGTACCTTGATAACCAACAAAGTGCCAATACCACCATATTTCTTATGCGCCTCTGTGAACGGAGTATGAGTGCACAAATTAAATTTTTGGAATTATTTAAGAAGCGAAAGGTTAAAATTGAGGCACAAGAATACTTGAATAAGAAACTCCAAATAATTTAAAATGCATCGTTTGACAGGACTCTTACCAAGCATTTCAGGTAAAGGAAAATTGCAGCAGACATCACAATTGAGCAGAAAAATATGGGACTGCCATTAAAAGCAAGAAAGATTATTATACACAACAAAGTAAGAGTATAAAACCATCATGTGAGGACAACAAGGGGGAAACCAGTAACAAAATAGAAGGGTCTTTGTAGAAACAAAAGATAAGTGTCATCAATAGCTTTGAAGCATGCAATCATAGATAATAAGTAGAGAAATGTAAGAATGAAATCAATGATTCAGGCAATCAAAATGAAGAAATTCACAAAACTTGGATACATACAGGAGAATCCTCCATGATTAGATCTCTGAAGTAGTAGAGACCCCCTGCTGAACCATGAGGCTTGTCTTCTTTCAAATACCTAAGGATGGAAAACCAGACAATTAGATCTGCAATGTGATAGCCACATTCTAATCTACAGCATCACATGGAAACCGAGAAAGGAAGAAAAAAAACATACAAAAATCAAGTAGAAGCAATGCCCAATTTCACCTGACAGGGACTTTAAGCTCATTTGAGATTGAAGAGACATATAATGCAAACTCCCTCTCCTCGTAGAACCCAATGAGAAAAATTTGAGCCAAATTTGCTATCTACATTAAAAACAAATCACTAATTGAGTATTACCTTATGGGTAAATTCAATTCATGGTAGCCATTCGAACTAGCAAGAAACGATTTTTACAGAGAACAGAGACATTATCAAACAAAACAATTGAGGGGAAACATACCCTTTTACATGCAGAGATAGGATGATGAACCATAGGCTGACCAGCCAAAGGAAAGAGGGGTTTGGGAGTATTAAAAGAAAGTGGCCGAAATCGAGTACCTGGGCAACAAAAGAAATGCAGAATTGATATGAATCAATAACAGTTTGCTGACCAATCAAGAACAGTAATTCAACCAAAACCAATGCAAAAAAATAAATAAATAAATAAAAAAATCAAGTAAATATCAGAAAATTGAAAGAGCCTTGAACACACAAACCTTTAGTTGGTCCACCAACCATGATCACGGCTACCACTTTGTCTTCAGAGCTACCCATCTTCCCAAATTGCTCTCTGTTATAGAAACCTCTCTCAATGGGGCAAAATTACCAGGCTTAGAGATGATGGATAGGTGGAAGTGTGGACTGTAAGAGGTTTGGTGAGAGTGAGGATGAGATCTGGGATGAGAGTGGTACCAAATATATATATATATCTAATTCTTCTCTATTCGGCTCTGATGCCCGTACATATATTTTGTTTGCGTGCACAGGATGATGCGGATATGCCTTCTTACTCAAAGGTAGTGGGCTTTTTCCTTTTTTTGAGTTTTTCCTCCTTGACAAAATTTTCAAATACTAGTCCTAACTCCTAATTAGTTTTTTCTAATACATTTATTGAACCCACAAGTCTCTAATGTTCATGTTTAATTCTAATACTCCCTCTTTTAGTTCTCCCTCCGTCTCATAATTATTATCCAGTTTGGGTTTCAACTTTTAGTACATTCATGTTTAATTCTAATACTCCCTCTTTTAGTTCTCCCTCCGTCTCATAATTATTATCCAGTTTGGGTTTCAACTTTTAGTACAACTTTTTAGTAAAAATTCATTGTCCAGTTTGGGTTTTCACTTTTAGTACAATTTGAACTAAAAATAAAAATTCAAACAGGACAATAATTATGAGACGGAGGGAGTACAATTTAAACTGGACAATAATTAAGGGACGGAGGGAATAATACTTTTCGACCCCAAACACAACTATTGTTTTTTCCTTATTTCATTAACTTCCCGGAAAACTGTCACACACATATTTTTTGAGGTACAAAAGGCCAAATTATGTCCCAATATTTTATTTTTCTCATTAAAAAAAAAAAAAAAAAAAAGCAAGTAACAGAGGATTTTATAGCTACAAAGCCTACAACACAGTCCACTGATTAGGTTCTAACGGGGCGAAGGAAGGTCTGCAAATTCACCGCCGTAGATTTTATGCAAAGAAAATTAACGTATAATTCTGAAAAGGGATGACGTCTTACCTTTAACCTGGGAGACCAGTTCGTCGGAATTTTCGTCGGACCAATAGAAGGGAATCGGAGCTCTGATGAAGAAGACGGACTTCCTTTTGCCACCCAAAACACACGGCAATACTAATTTTCCACGATGCCTAAAATAACTTGTCAGCCACCCAATAATTCGTTAACACGTAAGACTTCTTTTTAAGGTTTTAGTACTTCCTTCTAATGAACCACACTCAAGTTTAAGCAAACTTTTTTTTTAGATAGAAGTGTCACTAACTTTGTTGTAAAACGTCCAACCACGATTGATAAAAAATTAAAATCACTAAAATATTACAATCAATTAGAATTCTACAACTAAGAATCAACCGATCTTCACTGCGGATGACCAAGTCACAAACTCTTCCATAGCATCCGCAAAATATCACTTATCAAAGAATAACTCCGATCTTGAATACTTCACTTATCATGACAAACTACTAAACCATTACAATCATGGACAGAAGATGAACTATGACACTAAAATCATGGACAAAATCATAGAGTAAAGATCACACACTACTAAATTACAATCAATAGAACGATATCTATTGATAAACTACTAACACATTAAGATACTAATAATACAAGGCCAACAAAATCAAAGATATGCTGAAGGCTAAATTTATTCAATTAAAATACTAAAAAGAAAGAGAGACAATTATCCCCCATCCTCCCATAGAAGGTAAGATGAGGAAAAAAATTAAACGGAAGAAAAAAAGAAAGAATAATTACCCAATTTGTTAATTAGTGAAGGGAATAAGACGGAATCAAGAAATAATAAAATAAATCTCCCAGTTTTGAAGACCAATTAATATAAATCTCATAGATATGTAGAAATTGGTGAAGAGAAGATGAGAGGAAAAAGAGAGGGAGAGGAGAGGAGCGGTTTTTTCTTAGCTAGGGGAAAACAATTCAGTTTTTACTCTCAAGTTTAAGTAAACTTGTATAATAAAAATAAATAGATTTTTGGAATAAAATAAACTTAAGACTTTTTTCTTTTAGAAATCAAATAAATTAATGATTAATTTGGTTAGTAGCATTAATTTTCTGAATTTGTGTAGGGAATTTCGTGAAATTTTATCCGCATAATAAATAATACAGAAATAAAAAGTGTGTGACCACTTATCTATTATTTCTTTTGTTTTTGTTACACACTGATATATTATTTCATATGCCAAAAAAAAGCTATATTATAGTTCGCGAATTGCATTAAAAATGACATTTCCGACCCAAAAAAAAACCTTAAAATACGAAATTTAGATGACTTAATCTTCAAATTAAAAAATTAAATTGAAAAATTGAATAAAATTTTATGACTATTTATCAATTCAATAAACAATTTTAAATTATACCAATCTCATAGGTCCAATTTTAAATTTATATTTATAAAATTGAATTATTTTTTTGGAACATAAATAATAATTCACAAGTCATAAAGTGAACTATTTTGTTGGAAACAAAAGTAGTATATCATATGATATTTTTATTTCATTATTTGTTTGCAATTTGGCTATTTTTATACTACTATCGTATAATTTATGAAACAAAAGCACTTTTAGTAGTGATCTGAAAATTACCGTGATTTGTCAATCATTTTACACGTTCTGATTGTTAGATGTGAATGATTATATAAAGATATAAAAATCACAGTAATAAGCAGTCAGTCTCTAAGCAAAATCTTTGTTACGTCGACTTTGATGGCTACGACTATTAAATATGTTTAGGTTACTTTCAATTTGGAACGAAAGCTACTCATATTATCAGCAACGGTAAAAATATTTTCTGAAAGAGTAGTGATAGGTACGAGGAAAAAATGATAAGGAAAAATAACAAAGAATGATGTGTCAAGATCTAAGTCTTAATTATACCCTAACCTTAAATATATAAATTCTGTTTGAAAAGTTTTAACAATAAACGGATAAAATTATTTTTTTGTAATTTTTCCTTATCAATTTTTCCTTATTCCAATCATTATTCTTTCTGAAATAACCATAGCCATCAACGCCGAGATAATGCGCAAGCTAGCGTTGAATTAACACTAGAAAATGTCATCTCACAACTCTTGCACCAAATATTAATACATTATTCTGTTTCCAATGATCGATACTGCAAATTACATGCAAGACTCCAATACGATATCCTCTTCATCACTGTAATGTTGATTTTAAAAAAAAAAAAAACAGAAAGAGTATTTCTTACAATATATATATATATATGACCAAATTTATTTAATAGTATATATTTGTAGTAGTCAATAAGAAATCTTCGCATGTTGAATAGGAGTAGTAATAAATAAGAAGTTTTGTTTTGAATTTGGAACATATCAAAGTTCTCATCCTAGAATCCTTAGGATTAATTAATGAAAAAAAAAGGTAACTACTCCTAGTGGTTTGCCTATAAATATGACGGGGTACGAATAGCAAACTCCAGCAGTTAGGGTTTCAGATTCTTTTTTAATCATCGATCCACTCATCAGATGGTTCAGACAAAGTTCTTCCTAGATTTTGTTTCTTTTAATTTTTTTCTTCAAGGTTAAGTAAGCAAAGATGCCGAAGAACAAAGGAAAAGGAGGAAAGAACAGGAAGCGAGGCAAGAACGAAGCGGAGGATGACGTGAAGAGAGAGCTGGTTTACAAGTCCGACGGTCAGAAATACGGTCAGGTCCACGGGATGCTCGGCGAAGGCCGTTGGCACGTCATGTTCAAGGGCGGGATCACGCGCCTCTGTCACATCCCCGTGCGCGTTGCACAGCCGGGTTTACATCACCGCTGGCGACATCGTCCTCGTCGGCCTTCGGGATTTTCAGGACGACAAGGTTGACATCATCTACAAGTATACGACGGACGAGTCTAGGTCGTTGAAGGCCGACAAGCAGCTGCCCGAGAACTTCCGAATCAACGTGGTTACAATCGTCGGCGACGACGACGACGACACCGATCCTGATGTTCACTACGTTGATTACGCCGACGAATGACATTGATGGAATCTCATAGTTTAAAACACTCCTTTGGTGAGACAGTTAATTTATTGTTAAGTTTTTGTATTGATCGTAGGAAGTTATATATTGGCATGCATTAATATGGATTTTCTTTATTTTTTATTTTAAAAAAAATATGTAACTACCACGACTTAAAATTAGAGATGGATTATTTTTGTTAGGACTGATCGAGTAAAAAGTTATGATTCGACTCCCAAAGTTAATCATATCCCAAGTTGCAACTAATGTTACGAATAATCATTCGATAATATACTATCGTGCATGCCATATAAATCGTTATCTAAATTTTGAATTTTTTGTTTTTTTTTTCTCTGTATAAAGAATAAAGAAATTTAATAGTTAAAAAAGAACCTTGTAATAATGATAAGATGACACTCAAAAGTAACTCCCACGCAATAGGATTAGGGGATTAATTGATTCGAAGCATTCGGAACTATTGGGTCGTGATTGGATAGTATAAGTGAAACACATATTGCCAAGAGTCAAATTATATACTCCATCTGGCTCATAATATTTTTTTTTAAATAGTACCTGTTATTAATCATAAGTATTTAGTGTAATACATCGATAAGTATTATAAGCAATATTATGTAATTTAGAAATATCTATCCTGCTCACTTTAATTAGTTCGCAGAACTCAAAAGAAGCTATTAATTGCAATAAAAAAAACAATTTCTAGGACTTCTGTTCGTCCAACTTAACAACCGGTAGAGTTAAATTAAGATAATTTCTTCGAGTTTTATTGTTTTAGAAAAAATGCCCTGAAATAATCTCATCTTTATCCAGTAACTTTTTTGTCAAATCAAGTGTATTAAAAGAAGAGTTATGTTTTTTTATTTACTCATGTAGTTCAACAAACAAGATTCTTAATTGTGGAGTTACTAGCTCTCCAGACGTGGTTACTCACCTCCACTGAGTTGCAGCTTTCAAATGTGAAAGTACTAGGGAATTCCGCAGACTGTTCTTCCTACCTTAGGAGAATCGGATTATTCAAGTCTATGCCTCCCTTTTTTTTTCCCAGAAGGCCGACACTTGAAGTCAATTCATTCATTTAAAAATCTCTAATGAATCTCTAGAATTGACAATATGTTGGCACTCTCTAACTTTTTATTGCAAAACAGAAGTTAGAGATATTATTACTTGACAAACTAATCCTTTATTTTTTATATCAATCAAAATTGACTAATTTTCAACAAAGTTAATTAACTATCTCTTATTTAAGAAAATAAAAACAAGATTCTTCATTAGAGATCGGATATCAAGAGAGTACTATTTTGACTAGCCAACACAAATTAGCTTTTGTGCAGACAAATTTAATTCCTTTCTAGCTGTTTCACATAATAAACATATAATACTGTACATTGCAAAAAAGACAAAAATAATTTTTTTTTCCCCACCTAGATATGTTTTTAGGGTGTTGAAATTTGGTACCTTCTAAATATTATTTTTGTTCACTTGGCTTGATTTTTTGAGTGACTCCTGAAGTGATGGTTGAAACTTACTTATATGGTTCCAGAAAATAGGGGAAAGCACTTATTAATTTTGATTCCATCTTACATTGGGAAAACAAATTTTTTACAATCCAAAACCTACTCGAAGCGTTTGACTAGCTAGCTGTACATTAATCTTACTAATTAGATGAAATATGGAACTCATGAGTTTGATTGTGCTACACAACAAAAGCTAATGAAACACACATTATTTTCTTTAGAAAGAAAACAAAGTTATTATCTATTGTAGTAGATTTCCACTCGTTCTGTTATCCCCCCAAAAGAAAAGGATTTCCACTCATTCAAGTATTATTAATTTCCTGTAATAAGACACAAATTTGAGTAATTTTCATTCAAGTTTATGTCATAAAAAATAAATGACGAAGAGTATAGGAAACTATAATTCATAGAATTTTTTTTTATGCTAGTGCGTAGGCTTTTCATATTCCTTTTATCGCACCGATTGTGAACCAGACAGTACTTGCGTGCTCATTATATATACACTATTAATCTCTGCTCCTTTCATCTTTTGGTTGTTATAACAATCGATCATGAAAAGGTGATTCCAATGCGTGCGTATGCCCACAACGGTAATCGACTATGTTAACCTGACTAACTTTTCTCTCCTCAAAATCAGAGTCAGGTTTATTATGAAATCATAAAACTATACCACATTGAAATGATATTTAAGTACGTTTCGATTGAATTAATTAACTTTTAAATTATTGGATTGCGAAACATAAACACACTCAATTCTTCTAATGATCAATATTTCTAATCTATGAATCTTGAATTTTCTAATTTATATGAAATCTCTTAGGAATATAAGATTTGAAACCATTATTACTATTATCATTCCCAAAACTCGATATTAATTCGTCACCTTTCCACGTTTCATTAGATTAATGAATGTAATTGACCAACTTGATTGGTGGCAAAGTGGGATTGTTTTTGTTTGCCAAACATGAACACAACAACAATTGGTTAGACCGGGAGGAGTGATTTCCATGTCAGTATATCACGAACACAAAAAATCATGAAGGATATTGCGGAGAGGGTCGATGTCTTATCTTCGTCCCCGAAAAGGTAAATTTACGTGATAGCCTTTTATAGTTCTATCATTATTATTATTTTTTATGGACTGAGGAGGACTGAGAGGCACTACTCTAATTTTCTACTTGATTAAAGCTCTATTTTGACCTTAATCTAAAACTATTCGTTCAATAATTTTACTTTTTCTGGTTTAATTTTACTCGTGGAGGTCACTCTAGCTATCTAATACCATTATGTCGACATATGATGTGCTACACTGTGGTCAGCATTGTTTGTGATAAATCTTAAACGTCCCATTCAAAACAAAGTCGGTAAATAAGTGAAAATTGATTTTATCATTCTCTGTCTAGATGGAAACATTTTCTATTTTCACTTATACTCCTTCTGGTCCTTATTATAAGGCATTTTCATTTCGTCATAAGTTTCACCTAGGATGTCCTTGTTATTGAAATAAAAACTTTAAAAACATTTCATAATAATTACGAGAACACAACGAATATAAAGATATATTTTAAGGTTTTTTTTTCAAGATATATGTCCTGGGTCAAGATTAATTCTGATGGATTACTGCTATCTCATTTTGGTAGAGCCTATGCCGGGGGGTTGGTAAGGGATCATCTTGGCCGCTGGCTTGGCGGGTTTGTGATGAATATCGGATTTGATACAATCACGGGAGCTGAGTTATGGGGTTTGTTTCAGGGGTTGCAGCTCGCATGGAACTTAGGAAAAAGATAAGTGATTGCGGAAGTGGATAACTCTAGTGTTGTTCAATTGGTGAAGAAGAAAGATTTTGTTGGGCGGCATGGGAGCTTGGTTCGTGGTATATGCGCGCTATTGTGTCGGGATTGGCAGGTTGAGATCACACATATCTTTCGAGAGTCCAATTTCACAGCAGATTACTTAGCTTTTGAAGCGGCACAATATCCGATGGGATTGTATTATTTGGATGTACCACCTAGTGGAATAAAGCCATGGTTAGAACACGATGTCATCGGCGTTTCTTACCATCGGAACATTCTAATTTAGATTTTCAGGCCTTCTGCCTCCTCTCTTTGTACCGAAAAAAAAAGACATTCTAGATTAAACCTAGGATGAAATCAAAATGCCTTATAATAAAGACAGGAGAGAGTAAATAACTAGAGAATTTATCTATTTTAGTTGCATTTGGGTTCATAGAATAATTTACTTCCAATCGTGGGTAGACATTTTACACTTATCTATTATATTCCACTCATTCACACTGTTTTACTCTTGAAAATAAAATTTCGTAACTATTCAACAACAACAGCTATGCTTGACACTGGAGAAAGGTAAAAATGATGAAAAAGAATTGTACAGTAAATGATTTAAATTTCAACGCAAACATTCTAATAAATCGTTGGGTGATTGATACACACTCCATACTCTCTTGCTCAGCTAAGTATAAATATAAACCTAAAGGTCAGATATCACCCACCAGATTAAGAATCACAGTTGCCTCAAAATCCAAAATGTTTACAAATGCAAATTGTGATTGAAAAATTCGGACTACATCGTGTTTCTACCTTCCTATAATTTTATTAATCAGTCTTCCATATATATTCTTGTTAACTTTCTGCTTTTTTTTTTCTTTTTTTTTTTAGGAAACTAATCTACAAAAATCCTACGTAGAAGAAGTTCATATAATAACTAAGGCTCTGGTTGGAAGGTTTTTTTGATGGTTTTTCCAAAATAATTAAATAATAACTGTCCCATTCCATCATACCTTTTTATATTTTCAATGTACTTTTTTTTATATTTTCAATAAAAAAAAAACCAAAAACACACACTGAAAAAACGATCCAAAAATAGCCTAAGTTAATAGCTCACTCAAACATATAACGTAAGTGGCACGCGATGAACGTGAGGTTTGACTGAGATGGACTTACGCTCACCTTCTTCTTTCGTGTGTGCTCTTTCCACACAAAACCCACTGATCAATTCCAGATTAAACCACCCCCCATATATATAAATTAAATTTAAATTTAATCGCACCTTAAAAATTTTAACCCCCTTAAGAATGATGAATCCAAACCAGCACAGCTTAGATCACAACCAACACTTTTACTAACTAGTTTTGGGATTTATTACGTTTGTAAAACAAACACAAATATTTTTTCCACCTGGTAATTTTTTATTTTTGTTTTCCTTATTAGCTTTTTTCATCCGTTGCGATAATAAATCTGCATGACGAGATTGCTACGTTGCAGACCTGTCGAAATCCCACGTGGCATTGCCTTTGCTCCCACCTGTCCACACCCCACCGAAAAAGGGAAGAACAGTCTCCTTGACCAAAATCTTTTGCCAGATTACATTACACAGGGGCGAGGCAAAAACGCATCAGAAAAATAAAAATAAAAATAATATTAAATTGAGCGGTTTAAATTGATTACAAATTTTAGTTAGTTTTTTTTTTATTTCGCAAGATTTACGAATTTTAGAATAATATTATACTAATATAACTGAAAATAGATATGCGTGGTTTAGTACTTTTGTTGTTGGTGGTATTGTTGTTTTGCAATTTTGCATGAGGACGTATCTCCCTCTTTAGTTTCTAACGTCAGTGACGAGGCAGCCAACTATCTTTCTATCTCTCAAAAGTGGAAATGGCTTTTTTTTTTTTTTTTTCCTGATTTCAGTTTGTAAACTTTTATATCCCCTTCGTACTCTCTCGGTTTTGTAGCTCTCTATAAATATTTTCAGTGTTCCAATTAAGGGACAAAATTTCAGTCATTTTGAGCCAAAAAAGAAAAAAAAATTTGGAACCAAACAGAAATATGGGAAATTCCTGTGATTCTGCAATTCCACCTGATTTTGTTGTTTTGATGTGATTATTTGAAAGATTTTTTGACAAGAAGACTCAAGAAATTAAAGACTGTTACTTTCCAAAACTAGTATCTCACTGAATTTTCTGTTCTCCATTTATCGTTTTGCCATCTCTCTCAATTCTTCGGTCTCTTTCTACATTAATTCCTGCAAAAAAAAAAAAAAAACCCATCTTTCTTTCATGGCCACCTTTACTCAGAGATTAACCGCTGGTCTCAACAAATCATGTGTACTGCTCATTGGTATGTAGAAGTAAATCTTTTCTTTTCTTGATTTCTTTCTCTCTCTTTTTTGTTCTTGTGAGATTGAATGATTTTTTGTTGTGAGTTTAAGACCCAAAGTTGCAACCTTTGATTGATTTTTGTTTGAAAATGCTGTATGTTTCACAGTGTTAGCAGGGCTGGAGAGATTTGCATTCAAAGGGGTGGCTTCCAATTTGGTGACGTATTTAACCGACGTTGCGAAAATGAGCAATTCATCGGCGGCCAAAATGGTGAATAGTTGGTGCGGTTTTACTTCCATGGTACCCCTTTTGGTAGCTCCCCTCGTCGATTCCTACTGGGATCGATACTCCACCGTTCAAGCTGCTTCTTTACTCTATGCCATGGTAATCATCATCGTCATTATTAGTCCTCCAATTTTTCTTTCTCTCTTTCTGTTTTTGTTGGCTTAATTTTCTTGTTCCGTGCACTCTTAGATACTTTTTGTTGCTTGCTTAGTGTTAATTACACTGGTTGCTGTCCTGAGGCCAAATTTTGGACATATGTTAGTGGCATTTGACGTACGAAAACAGGAAAAAAAAAAAAAAAATCCTTTGGGATATTTGGAGAGTAATTTTTACACTGAGGTGGTGATAGCTAGGATGATGGAACCCCGAGTCATTCTCCACTGCTTTTTCTTAGTGAAGTTCCCCTTTTAGTTTTTACTTACACTAGTCAATTCTTAATTATTAGCAACGTAAATTGTGATCCAGCACTTATGCTTTCTCTGTGATCTGTTTAGTCTTCTTGAGGATCATCCCTTTTTCTGTCTCTGCTTTGCTCTGTGTTCCGTTGATGCTTGATGAATTTTTCGGGTATAAAAATGTGGATAATAATCTTTTTACGGTTTTCAGGGACTTATAGTTCTAATGTCGACGGCTATAGGATGGCCTTCAGCTGCAACGAGTAAAATAAGCTCCTCCTCATTCCTGCAATTGTCGCTCTATCTGATCTCGCTTGGCCAAGGAGGATATAATCCGTCCTTGCAAGCATTTGGGGCGGAGCAATTTGAAAACCAGGAGGAATTGCCTAGCAGTAAAGCTGACCAGGGTTCTGATCAAAAGAGGATATTCTTCCAATGGTGGTATTTTGGTGTTTGTTGTGGCAGTCTTCTTGGAGTCTCCATCATGTCCTATATCCAGGATAACCTAGGATGGGGATTGGGCTTCGCCATTCCCGCAGTCTCGTTTGTCGCATCAATTGCAATTTTCGCATGCGGGAACCGGTTTTATGAGCGAAAGAGGAAGGCAAAGAGTGTTGATAACAAGTTTTCAGAAAACCTCATTGAAACTGTAAAAGCATCTCTGTCTTGGATAATCAAGCGCAACAGTAACTCGGATAGCTGCTCAAAGTTAGCTGAGCTAGAGTAAGAGTCGTCACTCTTTTTCATATTCTGATCTTAAGCTTACAAATGTACTAATATGATTTCGTTTTGTCTTTAGACTCGAGGAACAGCCACTGTGTAAAGATCTTGCTGGAAATGAAAGCTTGCAAAAGAGATCGGAGGATGGAAGCAATCATCTTCTTCAAATTGCAAAAGCAGTCCTGCCCCTGCTGCCAGTTTGGACTATGCTTCTAATGTTTGCTGTGATCTTTCAACAGCCTGCGACATTCTTCACCAAACAAGGAATGACAATGAAGAGGAACATCGGAAGCAAATTCCAGATCCCACCAGCAGCACTTCAAAGTGCAATAACTATCTCTATAATTCTTCTGATGCCATTGTACGACATTTGCTTCATCCCCTTGATTCGGATTGTCACACGGAATGATAGAGGTATCAGTGTGATGCAGAGAATTGGATTCGGGATGTTTCTATCCATTGTAGCAATGGTGATTGCTGCTTTAACTGAGGAAAACAGGCTTCAGTTCTGTAGAAACATGAATTCCACTCCTGATTCACCATCAGGAACCGTACCTTTTAGCATATTTTGGCTGCTTCCGCAGTACATTCTGCTTGGAATCTCAGATATATTCACGGTTGTTGGTATGCAGGAGTTCTTCTTTAGTGAAGTTCCTCTTGGAATGAGAACAATGGGGATCGCTCTTTATACCAGTGTCTTCGGTGTAGGAAGCTTCTTAAGTGCTCTGCTTATTACTCTTGTAGAGTACTTCACTAGTTCAAGTGAAAAAGAACATGGTTGGTTCACTGATGACATGAGAAGTTCTCGTCTAGACAGATACTACTGGCTGTTAGCTATACTTAGTGGTTTAAGCTTCATTGCATTTGTGATCTTCAGTAGGTTCTATACTAGTAGAAGTTAATCTTGGTCAAGGTAGCTGTATGCAGTGGCATTTGGACATGTTACTTTGAACAGACTAGATGTGTATAGACGGCATTGTTTTTCCTAGAGGAAGGATCAAAATACAGTTCCTTGTACATTTGATGGCTCACACAGTCCCTTAAATTTTAAAACAATGTTTTGATAATTTTCGAAGTGATTTCTCTGGAATGCCTTTAGCCACTTTGACCCCCTACCTTAGCAAATGCTTGAGAACTGGAATGGAAAAGGAAAATCACATGACCAGATGTTAAAAAACTTGCTGGGAAACACCTTCAGCCCCTTCGATCAGTCAGTCTCTCGAACGCTTGAGAAACTCAACTGCAGAAGTTTGCAAACTCATGCAGTTTCATGTTTTCCGAGGTTTCATACGAGGACTATGAGAAAAGAGAGTTGAGCCAAGCAGCTAGAAGAATGATAATGCCAGCAAGGAGGCAAGGACAATAGTTGTTGGTCTCAAGCCATTTGCCGTTCTATCAAAAGAGTCTTGACATCAATCAATCACATTTCAGCTCCTCCATCACTAACACTAAAAAATGGACGTTCAACAGTTCAAAAACGAATTATCACTGAATTATAGTCAATCTCAATCGTTTATCATCTACGAGGCTGAGCGCTGGAGAAGAAGACTGTCTCACCTGCTTCTAAGTTGTACAGTCAAAATGCACTCCAAGAAGAAAGTTAAAGACAGCTCTTACTTGACAAATGCTGCTGCTATTGTGCAACTAAGAATCCAAAATTCCAAATTTACATTTAAACAGTAGCTCCTCCTCTGAGGAGAACATTGTGTCATGTTGAGTTTTACCATTCATTTATTAAAGAACCAAGCAAAATTGCCAGTGAACCATCAAATGAACATTTCACTCATTATTTCCCGTATATATAATATGTAAGGCCAACAATATGACCTAACTGCTGCATATGCATGGTGAAGTGGGAAAATTTAGTAGTAGCAGGACAAAGACGCAAGCCTTGTATGAGATTGCAAAAGTATTAAACCATAGCTCCCAATCATGAATATTAAAGAAGCATGGAAATTTGCATCTTGATACATTTCTCAAACTCAATACCATTACCACCAGCTAAAGGTAAATCTATTACAACTGATTATCATTAGAACAGGAAACACCTACCCTACATGTCTGATAAGTACATATTGCCGCAATACTAACCACAAAGATCAGTTTCCTTCACTACTACTAAGCAAATAAAAAAATTCTTTGACATTGGACATAGAAAAAGTCACAAAAAATTATCATTGAAATATTGATTTGAATGCTTCCTATCTTTGAACAAAAATCAGAGACACGATTACCTCTTCAATGAGTACCATAGCCATTAACCTCCGAAGCAGGCACTGAAACAATAGCCTTTTGCATTTCCACACTCCTCACTTCTTCAATCCCATTCTCATCATCATCAGAATCCAGAGTAAACTGAGTCTGACCATCCAAATGTGACATTTCAGCTCCAAGAGGCCTATACCGCAAATGATCAGGCCTAATTCCGCGCTTCCTGCAAATAATCCCGTACACCACCACAAGCAAAGTCGCCAAGAAAGCAAGATGGCAATTGAATTGAAGGGTTGCAATGGCTCGACCTCGATGATACTCAGGGTGACCTTTACACTTGATAGTGTAGTTTCCCCTGCTTTTTCCTTGCAAAAAGCATCCCCTCACCATCATATCGGAGAAGAATGAGAAACCCATCTGAACAATCCATAACCCCTGAGAAATCAACCCAACCCCACGCCCCAATCTGGCGTAACTCGATCTGGAATTTTTCAATTCAAGCATAGTACAAAATATGCAAATCCCTATAGGCACTAAGAAAAGATCATAGTAGCGATTCTCGATCCCATCTGGGTCCTTTCTCCGGACGTAGAAAAACACAAATTCTTGACCAAAAGCGAAAAGAAACAGTAAATTCAGCAATGCCGCCGGCAGCCGGAAAGAACCCCTGATGTGGGTTAAAAGACCCAAAATCGAATAAACTAAAAACAGAAGACCAATCGCAAGTACCTCCAACTGGAAGGCGAAGCCGACCTGATCCTTGGAGCTGAGGGCATCGAAGAGTGAGACCAGAGTGTTAAGCACGAATAGGAAGGAAAGGGCAGAGATTGATGCGAAGGTTACGGACGACGACGGAAGCAATCCGCTTTTGGGTTGATTTTGATTTGCCGGGGGACGTGATGCCGGATCAAGGTTGGGAGATTCCGACGAAGCAACGAGGGATTCCCAAGCGCCAATCAAGATGAATCCCCCGCCGGCAATGCTATAGGTGAAAAGCCCCATAATAATTTCTGGTTGGCCAACGCTTGATTCGTGGCCGTGTAACAGCAAGAAAATTCAAAACTTTTGTTGCAGAATCACAGTTAGAAGGAAAGCAGGATTGTAACAGAGGAAACGGATCAAACTCTGTAATCTCTTTGAGAATCCAATGTCAAAGTCTCTGACGACAGCCACCGCGCAGGAAGGAGGTGGAAATTAGGAAGGCCGTCGGCTCTGCTGTTGGAATTTTCATATGTTTGACCGACCACTCTGATTTTGGACTTTGGGAATCGGGTGGATAATTCGGGTCGGTTGTTGGTTTTGGTATGTATTTTCTTTCATTTGTTTTTCAAAAAAAGAAAAAGAAAAAATGAAGCTTCAACAACAAAATCGTCAAAGAGGATCAATGCGTTTTCAGATTATTACATTTCTTTACCAGGAAAAAAAAATCGCATTTCAAAACATACTTAATTGCAACTATAGATTCTAATAAATTACTCTCTAGAACAAAAAGTTATCTACGTACATTATTTATCATACCCTAAATCATTAATATTTATTAGTATGAATTTAATTATAATTAAGTTTTTATTAATTAATTTTGCAATATTTATATAATTTGGGCTAAATTGTCGTATATATAATAATTCCTATAATTTTGTTTGAGCTAATTAAAATAGTCCAATCCCAAATCCGAAGTGAAATTAAATTACTTTAAGTCATATAATGTTTTAAAATCATATAAAGTTTTGATTATTAGTATTATTAAACTACATTCGACAATTAATATAATCTTATAATTATAGACATCTTATTTATAACATTTAACGGTAACACATTTTTCCTTTTATACCATACTAACTTATGCTCCTTATATGCGTCCAAAATGAGAACATTGTGAAGTGATCATTTTAGAAAGAACCTTTTCTTATGAACATAGTGAAAAAATATTTGTATAATGAGATGCGAAATAGTTTTTTTTTTTTTTCCTTTTTGTTGTGTTGGATGGGAAGATTTAAAATTAATATAATTTAATATGAAGATGATTTTATAAGAGTATGAAAGCACTCGAAACTAATTATAAAAGAAGTGATAAATTTTTCTAACAATGTATTTTGGCCCCCACTACAATTTTTTTTTTTAGATCCGCTACTGTCGACAAGATTGGTCGTTGTGAGTATGTTTACATTTTTTGATCTCGAAACATTAATGGAGGCATGAACAATATAGTGGAATAATTAACATCATTTCAAAATGACCAAATAATCATTTTAATAGGTTTGTTACCAGTAAGCCAGTTCTTACACACTTTTTTTTTTTTTTTGGCTTAGTTACTTTGCTCTTTATAATGAATATAAACATGCATGTGACCCAATTCTGATACTGCCGTTTTTGAGATTTTTAAGATGCATACTATATAAGGGGGAAGGCAACGCTGGGTCTACTTAGTACTTTTGCAACATAGCATTATTATAGTGTGTAATAATTAATAAAAATGACAACAAATGTGATAACAATGATGTATCGTGTAATATTGTATTATTGCGTATGATTCATAGTGGATGTCCTGAAGCACTGACCGCCCCCTATAAGGCTATAACCCTCAAATTCTTCAGCAGAAATGGCTTCCCGAAACGCAGAAAAGTGGGGTCTACACTTCCAGAGTGAACAATCCTTTTCGAAAAGCCATTGTGAAAGCTGGTTGCCGGCCGATCGACTCTCTAAAGACCCAAACAATGTCGATTGCGCGGCTGAAGGCGAGGGTCGGGCCAGGCACCGTGAACACCCCCTTCCACCATTTAATTGAAAACAATAAAATTCATAATTTGCAATATAACTTATTTTTAACAGATATAATTTTTTTTTGTTTTTTTAGCATATATTAAATATATTAAGATCCTAACTTTGCTACTCATAGCGACGATGAGATTTGTTTCATCCTTTCACTATTCTTATTTAAAGCATCATATATTAATCGAAATATAAATTCGTGTTTGGAAAAAAAAAAAACACCTCGAAACATAAAACTGACACATTAAAATATTCTTGAGAATTAGTTATAGGGTCATGTCTATGTAATAAATAAACTTTTTTCTTTTTGTTTTTAACTTTTGTTCATTTAGTTGATATAGTCCCTCTAAGAGTTAGAATCTCAAGATTCCAATTCATCATTTTCCTCTCCTAAACCATCTTTCTTTCTTTTAACCATAACACTTAATTTCTTAACGGTAATAGTTCTTTTTTTTTTTTCATAAAAGAATAAGTACACCACAGCCCTTTGTTTCTAAAGTGCCTTAAACGTGTTTACAAATTACAAAATCCACAATTTCCTTTTGTCACATGAAAGAAAAAGAGAGAGAGAATTATACAGATGGAATATGTCTAGTTTATTTTTCAGTTTAAATAACTTCATCAACAATATCAAAATTTCAATATTCTTCATTGCTAGAGCAATGATTAGTGTTCGTTAGTCATGTGGCATGCACAATATCATCACCCCTTCCTTAAATATACATGCAGAATCATTTGTGAATGTGGGGTGATAATCAATAGAATGCGCAAAGTTCTCTAAAAAAAGGAAAGATGCATTATATTCTTCTTTTTATTGACGTCGACAAATCTATAACAAAACAACAAATACAGACCGTGATAGATCATATAGCGAGCATTTGTTGAAAATTCGCACATGAAAATTCGCACATGATAGATCATATGCAATGCATGCAGCGGGACGTATTGTTTATTACTCCATCTATCTCAAAATAATTATTTAGTTTAGATTTTTATTTTTAATACAATTTAATTTAAAAATTAGAATTTAAAATCGGACAATCATTTCGCGAGAACGATAATATTTACTTTCTCGCCGTCTTAAACTAAAAATTGTATTTATTAAACTAAAACAGTACAAAATGGAGCGTAAATTTAGGACAAATTGTATATAGCCCCTCACGAAATTATGTCCCCAAACAAAAGTTGTGGTAACATATTACATATTGCATGATCTTCAAATCGTTATGTGGTTAATTGCTTTGATGTGTTGTACGGAGATTGCTATATTTTTCATATTGGCATAAAAGTTTAATAAACTCCTAAATTTTAAACACTTTTACTAATCTTCGTTTTTACGTTCAACAAACAGTAGGCAAATTCATATTAGAGCGATTGGGAAAGCGTCCCACGTCTACGAGTGATTTTCAATGTCTCCAACAATATATGAAATTGTCCTTCCGCAAGAATTTGTTGCATAATGTGAAGCGAAAAATGACGAAGTGACTTCTAAGTTCTAACATTGTCTTTAATCAACGGAAGAACACACATAACATAACACTACTGAAATAAGCTTAATCACAACAACGTCTAAAGATATACTCAGATCAGTTCACAATCAAATGTCAGGTGTTTTGATAGCACTAACTGGGAATTAGCAAGGATAGTATCAAAAACCCTATTAATTAATTGCCCAATTAATTTAGTACTTTTCAAAATCTCTAGTAACGTTGTGTTCTTACTAAATATATACTATTCCCTTAGGGTTTAGGGTTTACCCTTATTCTAAAAAAAAAAAAAAGAATCCAACAACTCATCAATTTTGCAACGTCAACCAACTGGGTGGGATGATTTGGGAATTTAGCAGGGATTTACTTTAGCAGTCTAATGTCATTTTAAAAGACAAAAAACTAAAGTTTGTTTAATTTTCTTGAGTTTGATAAATTAGGAGTATTTATTTAGAATTTACAAATAAGATCAAATGGAGTAATTTATATTGCTTTTTCTTGATCCAAACAAAAGCTCCTATATCAAATGAACCTCTACCAGTTTCAACATTTTCTTATATATTATCCTTGGGCTCTTATTTCGTGCTATTATTATAATCGGACACTAATTTGAACGTCAACTTCCGCATTTCTTTTTAGATTGATGTGGATTAGGTGCTTGGATTATATATAATGAATAAAAATAGTAAAAAAATATATGGACTGATGTGGATTAATCATGGCATCTAGTTTTTTGTTATTTTTCCATTGAAGTTTTATTTTCCCTCTAAAATTACATTTTTACTCTTAATTAATAAATAGACATGTTTAATAAAGTGACGGTGTATTTGTCTTTTCATTTTTCACTATATATTTTCAATGTACTTAGTCACTGATGTATCATTGCTATAATATATATGACGATTTTTTTTAAAAAAAAAAACCTTGTAGTAAGACTACGGATAAATTAACGTCCCTCCCTCAGATTATCGCAAAGTTGGAAGTCCTCAGGTACCTATGACTTTTGTGCAAAAATTAGCTGCTTGCAACATTTCTCCAGTTCCATCACTAAAGCTGGTTTAGCTTTATTTAAATCTCGATCTAGAAATTATTTTGACCCTTTATATATATATATATATCTACAGAGTTGAGATTCAGAGAACATTTCTGGTTTTGAGAAGATTTGATAAAACTGAATTTTCATTCTATATTGGAAAAAGTTCTGTACACTCTACATATACATTAACACACGCCTGTACAATACTTAACTACAACTATAGTATTTACACAAAACCCCTAGTCTTTACAGAATATACAAACCAGTCCCTAATCATAACTATTACTCTTCATATATACAAATCAAGACAGTATATTCTACACTATATTTACAATATTTACATCCCCCCTCAAGCTCAGCATGGAGAAAATCTGACATGACAAGCTTGGATAACAATGCTGCAAACAAAGGATAAGGCAGGGATTTTGTGAACACATCGGCAATTTGATCCTTAGAACCAATAAACAAAGGAACGAGAAACCCTTGAAGATAATGATGTCTTACTAAATGGCAATCAATCTCCAAATGTTTCGTACGTTCATGAAACACTGGATTCTCCGTGATGTAAATAGAGGATTGACTATCATACCACAAGGGAATCAGAGAAGAAAGCTGAATTCCAAAGTCAGAAAAAAGATAAGATATCCAAAGAAGCTCCCTAGTAGTATGACTCAATGACCTGTATTCAGCTTCTGAAGAAGAGCAGGAAATGATGTGTTGTTGTTTGGTTTTCCAGGAGATGAGGGAAGTTCCAAGAAACACACAAAATCCACTTACTGCCCGATGATCAATGGGATTGGATCCCCAATCGGCATCACTAAAGGCCTCAACATGAAAAGCAGCATTTACAGAGTAAAAGAGACCCTTAGAAGGACAGTTTTTCAGGTACCTGAGAACATGGTGGACTGCTGCCCAATGATCCTGACATGGCTTCTGGACATATTTGCTAAGCTGCTGAACAGCAAAGGTGAGATCAGGCCTTGTGAAAGCAAGGTAAAGCAGTTGGCCAACC